ACCCATGTGGGGATTCGAACCCGGGTCTTCGGCGTGACGAGCCAACGCTTTAACCACTAGGCTACCCCACCGCCCCAGGTAACAGAGAGAAGGACACACGGACAGATATACAGTTTATTGGTCGTGCGTTTGTGAAACTGAATGCAGTATCATGACGTTTTCAGAGTGAGAGTACCATCCATAGTTCGCACTTGTGATCAATCCACACAGTATAAACCCATTAGAAATATTTATGAAAATGTAATGATACTTAAACTATTTAATAATAATAAAAATAAATTTCTTTAAATTTTCAGTGAGTTTTGTGACCAAATATATACATGTATATTGCAGAGTGGATTTATAAAGAGAATTTATTTATCAAAATATGTATTCTGAGTAAGTTACTTCTGAACGTAAAAGGAACACGGAAAGGAGCATGACTAATTAAAACACGCGGTCACTACTAAAACAGTCATTAGGTTATGTCAAATCATGTGCGTCAGAACTGGTTCCCAGTTGCCCAAGAATGACATGAAGATAGGGCTATGAGGATTTGTCGAATAAGGTACCCGTGATGACCCGGGTTAGAATTGGTCTTAGCAACCCACGCTTGCCGCACGAGTCGACTGACAGGATCGGGTGGTCAGACTCGCTGACTTGGTTGACATATGACATTGCGATTGTCATCGTATCCCAATTGTGAAGATAATGCGACTGTGTGTCTCCAAACCCTGGGGTCGTTGTTCGTGTTCTCATTTCACCTTGCGGAGTCCACTTTGTAGCATTTAACAATTTAGGTTTTACAACGATGCCATCATAATATCTACTGGAATATGACCCAGTTGTTAACACGCATGAACAGCTGGGATGTTGCTGAAGGAGGCGTTGAGAACATACAGCTACTCATTTAACTCAAATAAATGAAATTGCATCAGATGTATTCATTACCTGATGTTACCGTAACACAGCGTTGAGAACATACAGCCACTTTTTTACCTTAAATGAAATTGGACAAGATGTATTCATTACCTGATGTTACCGTAACACAGTGAAGTACATTCACTTTCGAGAATAGGCACCCTGGTGCCCCCTGCCACGATATTGCTGGAATATTGCTAAAAGTGGCGTTAAACTAAACTCACTCACTCAGTGTGCTGATATAGTTCCTAAGATTTGGATGATACATACATTTACATATATGAAAATATATTACCAATATGCTTCCAACGATAAAAATAATGCATATAATCACAGTATAGCTTCTACGTAGCACTAATACACGTCCACGCTAATCACATTAGATATTACGTGACAAAATGTGTAAAGATAAAAAGATGCGTCATAAATCATAGGGGCGGTGGGGTAGCCTAGTGGTTAAAGCGTTGGCTCGTCACGCCGAAGACCCGGGTTCGATTCCCCACATGGGCACAATGTGTTAAGCCCATTTCTGGTGTCCCCCGCCGTGATATTGCTGGAATATTGCTAAAAGTCAGTCAGTCAGTCATAAATCATAAATAGGGAAGCATCGATCTGTGAACAATGGGCCTCGCAGCGTGTACATTTGAAGCGTGTTAGGCGAGTTTCTACATCCGTTCCCGCAGTCGAAGGGAGATAACCCATGGGGTCTTAAATGGGATCGGGACGACTCTTTTTATTCTGATAACTCCATAACATCCGTTTGTATGGTGGTGAAGTGAGTGTCTTCATATGGCTAACCGTGCAGTTGTATCCAATGGGAATCGTTATACTAGGAAAAACCTGATAAATATCCTAAGGTTTCTTGGTTGCTAATCGGGTTTCAACCAAATCTCCCGCACGCAGTGTGTTGATATTTCTTCTGCATGGATGCTGTATTGTGTGTACATCACATGAAACGTGCACGCTTTTGGGGTTTTGGGGTTTTGGGGTTGAGGCAGAGTAGACTGTTGACACAGTTCTTCGTTAACGAAATATTAGTTCAGATGAATTCAGCCTCGAGATGAAATAAAGTCTTAGAAGCGGGTGTAAAATCACATAATTTAGGCGACTGGCAATGGTGGCCCAACGATTAGTGAGTGAGTGAGTGAGTTTAGTTTTACGCCGCACTCAGCAATATTCCAGCTATATGGCGGCGGTCTGTAAATAATCGAGTCTGGACCAGACAATCCAGTGATCAACAGCATGAGCATCGATCTGTGCAATTGGGAACCGATCCCGTTAGTCGCCTTTTACGACAAGCATAGTCGCCTTTTATGACAAGAATGGGTTGCTGAAGACCTATTTTACCCCGGATCTTCACAGGTCGGCCCAACGATAAGGATATAATGTGTGACTGAATGTTTTAGCAATATTCCGAAGAAGAACGCCAGAAATGGTCTTCATAAAACTGTAAACAATAATAAAGTAAAATAAAGAGTATAACTTTTGGGATGCTACAGAAATTTCCCCTGTATGTCCCAATTACCAAGATTATCACCCATGATGTATTTGAAGTAATACGATTGCCATTAATACGCCTTTACAGGCAGAAATCCATGATATATATCTGTCAGTTCAAATTTGTCTAATGCAAATGCAATCCCTAAAGTTAGGTGGACATACTATAGTGGTTATAGCGTTCGCTCGTCACGCCAAAGATCCGGTTTCGATTCCCCACATGGGTACAGTGTGTAAAGCCCATTTCTGATATCCCCTGCCACGATATTGCTGGAATATTCCTAAAGACGGCGTAAAACTAAACTCACTCATCGTATGGATATGGTGCTGAGTGCTGACTGACTGAGGATCACCATCAGAGAAGGATTCGTATCCTAACACGGCTAAGGAGAGTAACTCTATACAAACCAACTAGTAGATTGAGTAGTGTAGCACGTTCACCATGAAGAGTGACTGATAATCAGTGATACCATAATTACTAGCTGACCTTTAAACCATCCTCCGAAATATATACACTACACGATAATATCACCTTCATTTGTCTCGCTATATTTGTTATCTATTTAGGAGATAAACCCGGTTATAGATCGACATGCTATCGATGTATGCACCTCACCGACTTTGACTGAGAAGTCTGAACATAAAGGTTTCAGAAAAGGGATACTCGGATACCCCATTTGTAACACAGAATTAAGCATTCTTCAGTGTAGTAAAGTATGAAATTGAAAAGCACCCTTCTTCACATCAACATTTTGTCTCCAAACACCCAGTGGATATCACATGACAGATAATCCACATTGTATCTCTCAACACAGTGATTATTCTTCGTAGCCGTTCGGTTTAAAGTCAGTTTGACCTGTATTTCAGTTACATTGCGGTTTGAGTGAGTGAGTTTAGTTTTACGCCGCTTTTTGCAATATTTCAGCAATACCACTGCAAGGGACACCAGAAATCGGCTTTACACATTGTAACCATGTGGGGAATCGAAACCAGGTCTGTGGCGGGACGAGCAAACGCCTTTAGTGATACAGGCCTCTCACCGTGGTTAAGGACTTTGGGAGGACCTCAAAGCACAGCCATGGTGCTGACAAAACCAACATATGAATCAGGACGAATTTGGGAATCAAACAAAGACCATGATTCTGACACGTCTAAGGGGCGGCAACACGGACACCGCACCTGGTACTACTAGACCACCCGTGCTCATGTCAGGGCAAACTGTGAGTCCAAATTCTCAAACTAATGTTAGCACTCGACATATGTAAAGGTGTATCAGGGGTGCTGGGGTAGCGTAGTGGTTAAAGCGTCTGCTTGTCACGCCGAAGACCTGGATTCGATTCTCCAAATGGGTTCAATGTGTGAAGTCCATTTCTGATGTCCCCCGCCGTGATATTGCTGGAATATTGCTAAAAGCGGCGTTAAATCATACTCACAAACTAACTGGTGTATCAGAAGTTTAGACAAGCCTTAATGTTACTTCAGGAACTTCACAACACTTTATTCACGAACTGAAAATTAGAACACGTTAAGATAAGACTCTCAAATACATTGTTTACTTTACATACATTGCCCCACAACTCAGATTTACCCTCTGCGATAGGGATAATAGATTTGTGTGCGGAGTTCGCACACAGTGATTGACGTCACTGCTTCGCGGAATATGAAGCACTTTATTTGGAGTGATCTGACCTTACCCAAATATAAAGCCGGCTGTTTTCGCAGCCAAAATGGGTCGTTGGTTCAACTGAAGTCATAGATATGTGATAAAATAAATCACATTTATAAATGTTTCACAAAACGGAATTAGAACCTGCCAACTTCGTGACATAAAGACGTCAGATGTCCTGCCAATCATGCAGTGGTTACAGGTAGATAACACCACATTTATCGCATGTTATCGTTTACAAGTCAGTACTTGCAGTCCTACCAACCTAGATATTAGTATGTGACATGTCATTATATGTGTCAGCCGTGTGATCAAAGATCTTCATAAGCCAAACACACAGTATTCATACAGGGCATTTTGAACATCCAGCGTTATATATAAATTGCGTATTGAATATTTACAAACACGCCTGTATTCGGTTATTTCAAGGGCGGTGACGAACGTCATATAGTATTTGGCCAAGGTCCCGACGCACAAAGTGTTCGTAACGTTACGACCTGTCGTAACTTTATAGTTTATCAAAGGCTTACGAGTGCGTGAGTTGCGTTTTACGCCGCACTCAGCAATATTCCAGCTATATGGCAGCGGTCAGTAAATAATCGAGTCTGGACAAGATAATCCAGTGATCAACAGCATGAGTCTCGACCTGCACAATTAGGAACCGATGACATGTGTCAACCAAGCCAGCAAGCCTGAACATCCGATCCCGTTAGTCGCCTCTTACGACAAGCATGGGTTACTGAAGGTCCATTCCAACCCGGACCTTCGCGGGTATCAAAGGCTTACGAATGTCGTAGCGCTACAAAGGATTTATGAATCGGGACCCAGATCACAAAAACAACAGAAAATAATGACCAACAAAGTTTTTCTGCATCTTTTAGTTTACGTATTCATAAAAAACAACACATACATTTTTTACATATATACATTTTTTCACTTGGAAACAAACAATGACTATTTACAAAGTGCGTGAACCTAATGAGGAAGAAGTGATGCAGGTCCACAACATCTCACGGTGCAATCCACGACACCACCATTCACTTTGATCTCCGTAAATCTGGGGTTCGAACCCATTATCAGTGAATCATGGTAGCCAGCCCCAATGAATGGCTAGTGAGTTCGGGACAGTTTTTTGGTTTGGATGAATCGTCGCAAAATTGAAATTTCATAACTTCATCATTCTGCCGACTTGAATGTTCGTTAACACAACATTCCTTATCTGAGGTATCCTTGTCAGCTGACGTTTGAACAGATGGCACGTCTCACCATTTGTTGGAGGAAATGGTACAGCCTTGTTTCACAACATATCGAGCACGTGTGCGTATGTTCCTAAGCCTCCTCCAGGCATAATCGTAAGTAAGGAGAGCTGACTGAACAGTTTTGTCGTGACTCTTGACTGTTTTGAATGTTGCCCTCCGCACGAAGACACTACAACCTTGAGACACAACTTTGTTTACTTGGGCTTTGACAATCTTGTTTCCAAAGAGACGAGTTTCCCAGTGGACACCGTCCGGAATATGGCGGCAGAGTGTGTTCAAGACCACGAACCTCCGCCCATTGCGGTTGACCTGAACACCGATCTCATAGAGTGCTGGTTTGTTATTCTTGGAGCTGAAGATTTTCTTGGTTCTGAATCCAGTTTTCATATCACCCCACCGTTTCTCCCACCTGTCTGCGTCTTGAGGCTGTGGGCGCCTAGGGGAGATACCTTTGACCCAGGGCGACCAGTCCATGTCCTTCAGGGCAAAATTGTCCTCGGGGATCTCCTCTCTCATCAGTAACGGTTTCTTGCTTGGTTTCTGTTTGAAAAAAGGATGGACAGATTCTTGTATTGACTGACATGCCCACAGCATTGACTCATATGCCCATTGTCCAATATGGTAAAACATTAACTGAGAGAGTGAGTGAGCGAGTAGAGATTTATACCTTTTACAAATGTTCAACCGCAATTTCAACTAATTTAAAGTTTTACCAAACTTATGAATGAAACCCTGGACTTAACGTAATGTGTCAATAAGGCTATCCAAACCCCACATACCCCTGTTGTAAATTTATTAATAAATAACCATGGCCCCGTTTCACAAAGCTATCGTAGCGCTACGACTATCGTACCTCCTATACTGTAACATAGACTTACGACAGTCGTAGCGCTACGATAGCTATGTGAACCGGGGCCCATGTTCGTACTGGTGATTATTACATAAACAAAAAGGGTTTTCTGTGTAGCTTATTGACAAAGAATATTCATATACATGCTGACTGTGGTATCTAATTACCTTAATACTTTTGGGCTTTGGTTTTCTGTTAGATGTCGGTTTTGATTTTCCAGTTTTGATTTTTGATGCAGGTTTTGGCAACACTGGATCAGCTTCTGCTTTCTTGCCGCGTGTGTTTGTCACCTTCGTCGACACAGGAACGGCAGCTGCTCCATCACGCAGGGCAGTAAACATTCCTTCCACATCTTTGCTCAGAGAACCGTCACCTCTGCGACTTCGGACCTCCTTCTCGTAGGCCTAAAGTAGTCGACAGATATGTTCAGATTTTCTTACAGGCTCATGGAAATTGACCATTATGGTAAGCATATTATTAAATATATATCTAACACACTTTACCCATTAACGGTTAAAAGATCAAGCGTAACACCTCTGTGATATGTAAATTTTACCCAATGTAAATGTAATTTTTTCCTGAGTGGCCAGTTTTGCTTCATAGCAATGTGTATTAGGTAGAATACACTACTCGTAACTGAATTACGAAATAGCTGATCCACAACATTCTAACAGATAACAGCAATAATGGAAGAAAGGAATCCATAAAGGTTATTCCCTAAAGATGAAGGGATGAATTTTTAGGTTGCATCAGGCATAACTGATGGAGAGCTGCGAGCCTACCTCCAACATATCTGCTCCCTGTTCCCGGTAACAGATGGCCATTAGGAGGTCAAACACGTTGGAGAAATCTTTGAGTTGAAGATAACGACCTCCCGACTGCTCAGAAATAGTAGTGTAGAATTCTATACCACCACCTCCACACTCAACACCGTAAATCTTCACTCCCTGCGGATAGAAAGTAAGATACAACATTGCTGAGAACACAAGAACGCATGATGCTATGTTTGAGAGAATGGTTGTTGTAGTTTGATAATTAAAATCTGTCGAAAAAGTCAACTCACCATGGTTGTCAACTTTTTCAGCTCTTTCCTCCAGTCTATCTTCTGTTTATTTTCCCTGAAACTTGGTGTGTGTGGTGGTTCATCCCCGATGAGGACCAAAGCCCGATTTGAGCCCGGCGTCCACGACAGTTTCTCGCCTACTTCTCGAAGAACGAGTTCGTAACATTCGCCTCCGTCTCCTCCACCCCCAGTGCTGCCAACGCTTTTAACGAATTTGCAGAGTTCGGCGACGTCAGTGGAAAAGTCGACATATTGAGTCGCACGATAACTATCACAGTAGTCACCGTGGGCGAAGACGGCAATTCTGATGGCGGGGATGTCAGCCTGGAGTCGCTGTATCATGTCCTGGAGGCGACCTCGGACTTCAGCTAAACAGCCAGACATAGAGCCGGTTGTGTCAAAGGAGAAGACAATCTCCGGAAGTCCACCAGGAGGAAGCAAAACCATGTTGAATCTGTGGACAAATTCAACACAATTGAAGACCACGTACACAAGAAATGTTACTTTTGAAATTGCTACGCTTATTATACAACTATTATGCGTTGGCGATAACCATTAAATATTGTTTGCTTTGTTTCTGTCTATTCCTAAAGTGTAAAACTATTCCAGAGTTGATAATTAATGCTCACAGTATCAGCCACAATCAATCTGATTGATCAATCATCATCCTTCGCGTACGTAATATGCATATTCAGACAAATCCCAATCAGTATGGTGTGCGACTAAGACATTGGACTTCACAGAATCAGACATTACAGTTGTGGGGGTCGTATCACAAGTTAATACTAACTTTAATAGGTTGGGTAGGCGGTTTTAAAATTTATCAACGAGCGAGACCACTCCCGTGAAATCAGCAGTAAGACATGTATCAATGACAGTTTCCAGGTATGTGTTTAACGTTCTTACAGCCCATGTCATTTCATATAAAGACGAAAGTTTACACGGTAACTATGACAAAACTTCCTTCCAGGGTTTGGCGATAGCACAATGCATATTGAATTGGTATTTATGTTGATTTTTTTGTCAAACAGCAACATTAAATATATAGTTAGTATATTGTAAAATTGTGTTACCTGTTGAAACCAGGTTGTTGTATTAGAGAGGTGTACTTCGGGCACAGCTCTTTCACTGTCCTTTAACTGTGTATAGATACGTCTATAGCAGTAGACTGGCCTTACTCAGCCGCCTGACGGCTTTTATACTGGCTGAAACGTGAATATCACATGACGTAGCCAGGATTGAAGCAGGCACAGACTTGCCTGTCCGTGTTCACAAACGAATCGATGAATTAGAAATAAACATGTTCCCAACCTCACACAGCTCTGTCTCGCTCAAACACATCGTCTACTCCATGTTCCCTACACTGGCCGAACAACATAGCTTGTATGTGTAAGATATGAAAGAGTGCTGTGTGGAGTTTGTAAATAGTTCCTGACGTCACTGCTTCGCGGAATATTTAGCGATTGCATTTGGACTCCGCTGATAAATGTCTATTGCCTAATCAGCGATTTTACAGCCAGCAATGGTGATGTTTGGTCGGTGACGGACTTGATTTTTCCGAGAGAGTTAGTGGTTGACGTAAACTTGATCCTGCTACTGGTACGCAATGGAATATCATTACTGAGATTAAATATTTCTAAATACATATGAAGTCGACCAGATATTTTATCGCGAGGAAATGCTCGTTAAATTATGAGTATCTAGAAGATTACTTCGTGTTGAGAATGGTTTAAAGATGAATAAAACATTTACCTATGTAGTTGTACATTCATAAGGGTAGTTTGAGGAATTTACAGTGAATTTATTCATATGTCTTGTTATATTTCTGACCCCTCCTCTCAACACCCTTTCCCCCAACCACCACTGCACACACGCACGCCCGCACACACTAAGATATAGTATGACTGCACATACTATATTTTAACGGTTCTTCAGCCCCGAGCAAAGCCACATTTGTTTTGACTGTTCATTAATTAATTCGACATTAATGTTGTATTTTAAGCGTTTCTCTGCCCAGGACAATTTCACAATGCTTGGCTCTACCTTCAACAGTAACACGTATTTGAACCTTTCTTCAGCCCCGAACAATATATAATATCACATAGTTAGACTGCACATTCAACAGTAACACATTGTATTTGAACCTTTCTTCAGCCCCGAACAATATATAATATCACATAGTTAGACTGCACATTCAACAGTTATAACATTTGTATTTTAAGGGTTCTTCAGCCCTAAGCAAGGGTACATCGTTTGACTTTCGTAGCTTTATATTAAACAGCAATTGTTATAAGACTGCACAAAAATGGAAAGGAAATTAACAGCAGAATGCACATGCGAATTGTGAAAACCATGTGCAGTGACAATGACTACAAGAAGTCAAACGTTAGTCAACATTATGCCATACGTTCGTCTACCTTTGGAAGAGTTAAAATCGCAACATCGACATAGGGTCTTGAAGATTCCCAATCTGTAGTTGCGCGTTATTTCAACGTACATCAGAGCACCGAGTATATGAAAACAATCCTTTGTGAAAAATTCTTGGTATAAAGTCCATTTTACTGATATAGTTATTTATTTGACAAGACTAACATCAAAGATTTAAAAAAGAAAAAAACATGAAGAAATCGTATATAATGACAGATTAATTTTAATAATTGATGTTTGATCTTTTAAACGAAGCAGAAGAAGAAAAGTATTTTACGAATGTTTCACACATTTTACTATGTCAGGCCTATATGGCCTATGAGACACACATATCATTAAAAGTCAAGCATACATTAAAATGTATGGATATAAAATATGGCTTGAATGAAAAGAGAATCTATTTACCCACATGATGCATCATTATCCTAATAAGAGTTACTACAATGCACACGAACAGACGACTGTGGCAATGAACATCAGACAATAGCGGTAGGCGTAGACGATCTCATGTCATCATGTGATGCATGATGTAACTTATAACTTATAATGTTAATTGTAGTCATTTCGCATGGTTTTTATATCAACATTTCAATACATCATTATGTCATAAGACCATTGTACATTTGTTTTATGTATGACAATGAAAAACTAAAATACTGATAAAAATATTGTTCTTTTGTGCATTTTTTATTTGAAAATAAAAATGGGACTTTTTACCGAGGACTTTTTTACCGAACACCAGAGCTCCATATCCTGTATATACATGGGATCGGTATACCCGAATCAATTCAACCAGCGATCATCCGAGAAGCAGTAGACCAAAAGTTACCTCCCCTGCACAAGAAAACCGCGTCATGCCAGATTGAATGAAAGAACATAAAATGTTCGTATAATACGCGATTGTTGATGTGTATCTTTGCACCGTTTTCTGTTTGCACTTTGCGGCTTAAATCTAAACAGAGTCAAATTGGTGGGGGGTGGAAAACGTCTGAAATGGACAGTCATGCTTTGTACTGCTGTAACACTACTTAGTATAGTATGACCAGAAATTATTGAGAATTTTAGGAATATGTTTAATTGGATTTCTAGTATAAACAACCTTGACTATCAACTATCAAGTGCTTGGTTTCATTCGAGAGATACAACTCCGTTAATCCTTTTTCATTAGTTTGTGAAGAGTTATCCCCCTTTGTTTACTTGCTAGCAGACGACATTTTCAGTGATCCTCAGTATGGATGATTTATAGAAGAGGAAGTTGATTTTAGAGTATTATAACGAAGACATCAGATCAGCTAAAGTGATTTCAAGTAGAACAGGCATCCTTTGTCCACTGTTTATCGTGTTTTGAAAAATATTGCAAATGGATATGGCATTGAGCACCAGGGAGGCGCAGGTAGGCCCAGCAAATTGACTGTCGGTGACAGGAGGCGGCTTGGTATTCTTGTTTCTAAAAACAAACGAAGGAGTTTAGAAAACTTAAGGCTGGATATGATTGATAGAGGAACTGTGGCTGTCTGTAAGGAGACAATTAGAACTGAGCTGCATGCAATGGGTTGGCAGAAAAGTCGAGGAATTCCAGCACCGATCATGAAACCTGAACAAAAGGAGCGAAGGTTGAACTGGTGCTTACAGCATAGAAATTTTAACTGGGACAATGTGGTTTTCTCAGATGAAAGTTCTGTGTGCCTTTTTCCTGATAAACTGAAATTCTGGACCAAACAAACTGGAAATACCTTTGTATCAGCGCCCAAAGTACAGTCCGAAATTTAACGTGTGGGGTGTCATATCTGTGTTAGGGGCAACGCCCCTCTGTGTATTTGAAGGGAATATGAACAGTGAGCGATACACAGATAATCTCGAGGGACATGTACTTCCATCTGCTCATGTGTTCTATGGATATTTTTTGATTTTCCAGCAGGACAACGACTCAAAACATCGTTCAAAGCATTCACAGGCCTGGTTTCGGACCCAAAATATGACATTATTAGATTGGCTAAGCTATAGCCCTGACCTAAATCCAATAGAAAACGTTTGGGACTTATGAAGGAAAGTGTCAATAAGAAAAATCTGACAAATATTGCTGAAATGAAAGAAGAGGTGATCCGATATTGGGATAGCATGGACCACGACTTTCTAACTTCTTTGATCAGTAGTATGCCCCGCCGCATTGAAGCCTGCATTGCTGCCCATGATGACTTGACAAAATACTAACTGTTCACCTGTCTTTGAATCTGGAGTTATGCTCTGCTAATATTCACATTTAATACGTGAGTAATGAGTGAAAAAAAAAATATACAATCTTTAAATTCTCAATAATTTTTGGTTGTGCTGGTAATTTTGTACTGGATTTCCAAGCTCGATACATATCAACACAAAGAGGGACCATGATACATCATGCAATCAAGGAAGGATTGAACTTTAGCAATCTCACGAGAACGAAGTTCAATTTTTATCAAAAAGTTTGATTTTGATTTTTCAACTTGATTTTCATCCTTGATCCATGAGACATTTGTTACTAAACGAGTTGAAAATAGACCTAATCACATGTCTTTCTTCAAAGGTTCAGAGCTCTTTTTTATAAAATAGACAACAAATAATATATTTTTATGAATTTGCTTGGAAATCACACGTGAAAACTGGACTTTAACATAGATAACACTTAGTGAAATGTTGGGATAGGCCATTCAGGTATGAAGTACGCATCCTTATGGCCACCAGTTGTACTTCCCTTTTTCTAGCCTTTCCTCATGCATAGGCCGAGAATTGCTTTACCCATGGTCAAAATTAGAACTAAAATTTGGCCTAGACATTTCCAGTATGGCGGCGTTTCCATGTCGTTCAATGATGCTCAAACACCATCCACTTATTTACCTATCTGAGATAGAAACTGAAGAGACGAGTGAAACCTCTTCCGTAACCTCTCGTACGGATTTATTTATATAGATGTAAAGGGACAAATACTAGCTGTCCAAAAGATTCTATAATGAGAGGGATGACTTCAATTTTCAAATAATAGACTTTACCTTTATTTTGAGCTATGTTACACAAGACTCCAGTCTTATGGTGTCCATATTTCACAATGTTTGACATATCATCACTGTTTGAATAAGACTCATAATGCATCATTATGATAGAGCTGGCATCGTTAGTGGATTCGAAATTTCCAAACATGTGTATGGGAATGGTTCCATTTAAGTTGGTATCGATTCCTTTCATCGATTAGTGTAGTGAAGAAAAATATTTGAAAAAATGTGCCATATTTACTTTGCGGATAAACTACTTCCTTCAAATTATTTTAGCACATATATAAAATATTTTCTCCATTGTTTCATTGCATTCATTTACTGTATCAGATCCAGTAAGCAGACGTAGGGACATCCATAAACTCAGACCTACCTTATTCTTGTTCAGTTGATGCTTATCATTCAGGTTAAAGGGTTATATCACTCGCGTCAGCTTAAGGTGGACGGAAAGCCCAATTTGTGTCAGTTCGTCGACGTTTAAGAAACCTTTCCATTACTAATTACTATACTGACTGTATATGTATGCACACGCTAATAATAACGTCAAACATCTACATTGAGATTCAGCTGATGGTTTGGGTTTTCTTGGTTATATTACGACAGGTCAGACAAAACGTGAGGGTTTGAGAACTTAAACCCTTTTGTTGGTAAACCACGAGTCCGGATACGACCAGATGATCCTGGCACAGGAAAGTGACCATCTGTTCGCAGTGTGAACATTAAACAATCTTCATTGATCAACATCTTATAGGACAGCTTCTTTGGATATCTTCTTTTGTATTTGGTATACACGATGTTTCGGGTTTAAGAGTGAGTGAGTTGAGTTTTACGCCGCTTTTAGCAATATTCCAGCAATATCACGGCGGGGGACACGGGAAATGGGCTTCACACATTGTGCCCATGTGGGGAATCTAACCCGAGCGAACGCTACACCACTCGGCTACTCCAACGCCCGGAGGGGCAGAAGAAGAAGAAAACGTATCCCCGAAATGTCATGTTTAACAAATAAGGAAGATGCCAACCAAAACATATTTGTTCAACACTTCTGAGTGCCCTTCAAATGCAACATCTTGTAGTTGAAATCTGAATGCACTTAAGGGCTAGATATGCTTTTACTAGTTTTCAGCGTTGTTTCTAATATGTTGTCACTGAAAGATCAGTTGACAAATTGAATAATAGGGTTGCCTCTAATATTCTTTTTATGTCTTTAATGAAACAATTCATTCACGGCTAACTGAGAGGCCTTAGGTCCATAGTTTAACATATAAGATAACATGCAAGATAAGGATGTTTTTTCAAACTAATAATGCATAATATCTGTCTACGTATACTGTAATACTTTGTATAAATGTAACGTTTGATGTTGAAATGTATTAAGTGCCATTCGTATTAGTTATATATACTTCTTTGGAATAAATTCGTTTCCTCCTTTTTGCGATGGAGATTACACACAAAATGATGCGTGTAAGGTATCAAGACACACACATATTGTTAACACACATATTGTTATACTTTTGAACAAATCAGAAATATGCAAAAAAGAGAATTTCTCTCTCTCTTTCTCTCTCTCTCTATATACACACACATATTATATATATTTAGTCTTTTATATATAAATGATATATAGATGTAAATATGCATTATACACATACGCACACATATATAAATAATTATGTATGCATGTTATTCTATATTTTATAGCTTAGTTAAATTTTATACCTTACATTTTGAGTCCTTGTTAGCTGATATCAGTTTGCAGATGGCGTGTTTACGTAAACATATATTCCGCTCGTGTGTTAGTGTTTGGTATAATGATAGGAGTGACTGTTGCTTAGTGTCACGGTGCCCTTAGTGTCCGCTAAACGAGACGAGGTCAACTGGAGGTCTTTATTTTGTACGATAACACAGTTTGTAAGAATATATAGTCAAGGAAAATACACTTTATGAAGGTGGTTTGTTTTATTAGTTCCTGTTCTAACATTGCACATGGTTCACAAGGGGAAAATGCATGCATGAGTGAGTTTCATAAACAACTGTAACATAAACAATGACATATGTACAATTTTCACATAACAATATAAAATAACGTTTATAAGTCTCTTTCATTCGTTGGGACACACTTCTCGCGTAAAACATCATGGACTCACAAAATAATACGAGACTGAATCTCGATGTTTTTGGAACATAATGCCAAACATATGGCATCTCATATCTCAGAAGTAGAAAGAATGCCCTTTGATATATGGCATCTTAAGAAAAACGTCCATTTATCAAGTCTATTTAAATATGCCATAGAATGTGTTCAAAAGCATTCTATATTTTGTCTGATGAAATTGTGCTGCCTTGTTTGTAAACATGTCGAGCAGTAGATCGTGCCCTCCTCAAACGCCTCCAAGCATAGTCATAGGACTTCATCATTGCGGCTGTTTTGACTTGACCTGATGCTCTTCTGTACACCAACCTCCGCACAAAGACACTGCAGTTCTGAGACACAACATTGTTCACCTGAGCTCTGACAATTTTATTTCCAAGGAGTCTTGTTTCCCAGTTCACATTATCAGGAATGTGGTGACAGAACTTGCTGAAAACGACACACCTACGACCAAACCTGGTGGTCTGAACACTGATCTCATAGAGAGCTGGCTTATTGTTCTGGGACTTGAAGACGGTCTTCTTCCTGAATCCAGGGTTGGCACCCCGTCTCTTAGCCCATTGTGTTTCCTGTTTGAGGGGAACGTTAGGGGAGATAACTTTAACCCAGGGCGACCAGTCCATGTCTCTTAAGCTGAAGTTATTCTCGAAGACTTCCTCTCTTCTCAGAAGAGGTGTCACGAACTTTGTTGGTTTCTGAAAAAATACATTATGTACATATATTATCGATTCTTTTAGAACGGGTAATACCACAGTAGTGGTAAAAGCGATCGTTATCAGTTATATTTTTCAAAGCAAATGAATATTATAATATAATGTCATTATTATTTGAAACAGACATCGATAAAATATACCTTCAGTGATTTTGTTCCTGGTCTCCTGATAGATTTAGGCTTGGCCTTTCTAATTCCTGTGAAGGATGTAGTTTTCTTTAATGTGGGGACCGTCACATCTTTCTTACTGCAACCAGTTGTGGTCTTCTTTGACGATGGAAGGGAGGCTACTCCATCACGTAGCGATGTAAACATTTTTTCCATGTCCTTGCTGAGGGCGCCTTCAGCACAACGACCTCGGACCTCTTTCTCGTAGACCTGAAATGACATATACAAATGTTAAAACAGGAAAACATATTTGTCAAGGAAAGTACACTTAATTAATGATGAGAAATATTTAGGTTGTGTTTTCAAATTGAGCGTAGGGCGAACTTACATCAAACATGTCTGCTCCATGTTCCCTGTAGCAGATGGCCATGAGGAAATCAAAGACATTGGAGAAGCTGTCAAGTTGAAGATGGCGCCCTCCTGTCTCCTGTGACATTCTCTTGTAGAATTCCATGGTGCCAGATCCACGCTCTACCCCATATATCTTCACTCCCTGGAAATGATTAAGATGGATTTTGATATAAGTGACATGATGAAGTTTTTGGCGTATAATATACAAGTGGTAATTACGACGCAAAATGCATTTCAGCACTGGGTTGATCATTTGAATGCGTGTATTTCGTTTTGTTGAAACTTTTACTTGTCTACATAGACCTTCGGCTCACCATTTTATTGAGGGTTTGAATCTCTTCCCTCCAATCTATCCTGAGTTTGTTGTCGGAGTAGTCTGGCTCATGGGGGTTGGCGTCGCCAATCATGACGAGGGCACGATTTGATCCTGGTGTCCATGACAACTCCTCCCCCACTTGTCTGAGAACGAGCTCGTAACATTCGTCGGAGTCTCCGCCTCCAGTGCTACTGACGTTATTGACAAAGTCACAAAGTTCCTTGACATTAGTGGAGAAGTCGATCCACTTTGTGACATAGTTGTGTTTGTCACAGTAGTCACCGTGTGCGAAGACGGCCATTCTGATGGCGGGGATGTCAGCCTGGAGTCGCTGTATCATGTCCTGGAGTCGACCTCGGACAGAGGCCAGACAACTGCTCATAGAGCCGGTTGTGTCGAAGGAAAAGACAATCTCTGGAAGTCCACCAGGAGGAAGCAAAGCCATGTTGAATCTGTTGGGAAAAGTCAAAACATCTGATTTCAGTCATTCACTGTGTATATATGTTCAATAAAAAGAATACATTTAAATGATGGACGAATTCATTTTCAAATGAACAGTAGTATACCATAATTACTTTGATCATTACCTTCATCTTACCGACTAGATAATAATGTAGTATGTATATGGAGTAGCGATGCTCATGTAGTTGGACCCAGTTGTGTATGGAAATGATTAATAGCATATAGTTAATAGCTTCCTCAAATTACCTGGTTTGAATAGTGAAGGAAAATATTCAGCGCTTGCGCTATATTTCTTCGCTGCTATAAAGTGTAGCTTATATATACCGAAGCCTGTCAGCTGTAGTAATGTGAGTAGACTGATCTTACTCAGCCAGCCCGCTAGCTTTTATACTGGCTGGGGGACGATCAATGGGAACTCGCTGAGGCTTGTTGTGGCTGGCGTGTTTAGACCTGTTCTGTGGTTGTGTTTTGAGGATCAGACAATGTTCATGTCTAAGCGTTTCAACATGTGCATGTTTCGCAAAACAAACGAAACGAGCTGTTTGATTAGTTGAGGATAGAAACATATTCGGGAATTAGTACCACACGTTTGACTCAGGAAATGTGCTGTCATTGAATGTGACTTATGCAGAATCGACAAACGTGAAACGTGCGTTCAGAAACAAATGAACATACTCTCTCAAATACGTTGTAGACGTTAAATCTCCTCACACTGTGTCGGATAAATTTTTTCGTCGTAAACGGGATGTAGCGGCAATGTGTAGAGTTCGTATATTTTGTGATGACATCATTGCTTCGCGGAAGCCTTCACTTGCCAGGCAGAATGTCGACAATATTTTCCGTAAAATATGTATGAATATTGCAGATGTTTCTTTTACAGTTTGCGAGTTTCCCGGAGAGAGTCCCTCATTTGCAGGTGCAAGATTATAGGGTGGCCCAAACGAATACATTGTTTTGCACAAACTATATTGCCAAGGAAAACTCACGTTTTCAATATTTATCTGTTCCCAGTTTTTATGACCCACTGTTTCACAAATCGAACCACTTTCTCCTTTTTATACTTTGACAGACCGACAGTACTTATAAGACAGCCACTATGTTTCCTGTGAAAACGTTTTGGATAAATCACCTAAAACCAATTCAAAATAGCACGACTGGCCAGTTTTCATTGCATATGGTATTACATTTGTGAGTGTTTGCGATATTGAGCGCAAATTGTACAACCCTGGCCAGTTTAAATGAGAAAGAGAAAAAACAGGAAATTAGTTTCGTCATTATTCGTGTTTATTCATATATATGCTGAACATCCATGCATGTTTTACAAAATGTCTACACATTATTTTCATGTAAGATAATATCGTATCTCCATACTGAAAGTAGAAGCAACTGACAGCAATTGAACTGATAGTGAAAAGATTTTTCAATGGAACAGTTACAAAACGTAAGATAATGGATTTTGTTTTTTGTATTTTAGAATGGTACAAGAAGTAAATGTGAAGAAGAAAAAGGGGAAAAGAAGATTCTGAATAAGAATAGACATATATGTTTATAATATATAACAAATTGTTAGATATATTTACATTGCTAATAGTTGAATTTTATTCTTGATGGATATACGTGAACGTTAGAGTGTGATGTGATGTGTATTTCTGTTTTTGATTTAAAGTGAAAAAACTAAAAGACACAGCATTGATCTGCAATTGTATAATGACGACATGTATTGCACTGAAGTAAATAAGTATAGACTGTGCCATTGCAACATAGTTGCTGAAAAAAATCATCTTATCATCAGAATTACATGATATTGAGAAAGGATCATTATTTGGTCTAAACCCAGTCTGTTGTGTTAACATATGGCGGAGAGTAATAATAACATGTCCCCGACAGAGAAAATAACATTGAAAATACCCAGCGCTACTTTGCACGCACTGTGCAAAATGTCCACAGTGTTTAATGTTTGATGACGAGTGCGATTACATAATATATATAATAAAACACCAACTGGTATATTGCACAAATGTAGTTGATGCATGGAATATTCTTTATGAGCATCTATTTGATACATTAAGCATCGAACAGTGCATGTGTATTGAAGACCATGCAGATGACTAATTCTGCTATTACTGAGCGGTATAACCCCCATTGTAGAGAATATATGCCTTGACAGTTGGGCTGAATAGGCAGCACGTGTATGAGGCGACATAAGCTCCAGGGGCCTGCGATCACTACTTTATTTATAGACAGTGATCTATAGGCAGTGACTTATTTCTTACCAGGGTCAGGTAAATATGAAACATAGGTTTTCTTTATATATCCATTCATTTCTTACCAGGATCACGTAAATATGAAACATAGGTTTTCTTTATATTTTTATTCATTCATTCATTCATTCATTCATTCATTCATTCATTCATTCATTTATTCATTCATTCTTGCTACAATGATAAAGTTCTCATCGTGTATTGATAATATTTCACATATTGCTGTGTAACATCAGTAAACATGATACCAGTTAACACTTATTATGTTCACACGAACGTAGAACATGTAAAGGAGAACATGTGATTCAAGAACAGTGGTCATGACCTTTGGGAAATATCTCTCAAACGCGATGTTTCCGTTCATTGCTCCTCACACGTGCGTCTAGGTTTCGGTTTCATTGAGTAGCACAGTGTAGTGTAGCGAGTTTAGAAGGAATGTGTGACGTTTATACTTCGCGGATTGTTATGCTCGGCAAGCAGTTTTGCCGGATGGCCCGCCACACAACTCTCTGAATGCTGTGTTGTCAACACCAAAACACATGGTATATCGTTATCAGTTTTCAAAGGCAATACGTCCCTATGACCAAGATAGGAATAACAAAATAACAGCAAATATTGGTTAAACTGATGACTTATTATGGGAAATACATCCTAAAACTTAACCTAAAGCGTAAATATAACACACAGTTATTCCTTTATTATTTCATAACAATCATTTTACTGTACAAGGTTATCTAGTGTGACCTAAAACATCCACTAAATGCATATTAATTCGAGTTGTATTAAGGTGTAGCTTATTGTTAAGTTTAGTAGATTTTAAGAGTTGTTCAACTGCATATCAACTGAAGATGGGAAGTAATGTCCTCCGGTTTGTCGACGTTTACATATGTGCTGTGAAAACATTTTATTACTGTAAAAGTTTAGATTCCTATGATGTACGAATAGCATTTAATTCCCGTTCATCCAGATGACTATGTGGTGTGGAAAATGTTTCAGCTATTGTCTGTTCTTGATGTTGGTACCCGTGAATGTCCGGGTTAGAGTATTGATCTTCAGTAACCCATGCTTGTCGTAAGAGGCGACTAACGGGGTAGTCTGGCTTGCTGACTTGGTTGACACATGTCATCGGTTCCCCATAGCGCAGATCGATGTTCATGCTGTTGATCACTGAATTGTCTGGTCAAGACTCGATTATTTACAGACCGCCGCCATATAGCTGGAATATTGCTGAGTGCGGCGTAAAACTAAACTCACTCACTCGTTGTGATGGTTTAATAACAGCTTGTCATCTCATTGTGGTAGGTATATGATATCTACTGTTTACTGACTCAATAATGCCGAGCTCTAAGCAGGGACCAAGTACCATGTTTAAACGTCGAACCCGCAACCTTCCGCTGTCCGGGCGGACGCTGTTACCACTACACCATGGAGGCGGTCTACTGTTTGGGTCAAAGACACGAGCATGAATACAGACGAATGGTGATAATCGGGACAAATCATGATTCAACAACTACAGAATCCACTCAGGGACCCAAATTCACTAATGACTAAAACAATGATTGCAGTGATCCAACCTCTGTAGTCGAACATGACAGCATCTTTGGGTTAACAATACTGTATAAAGCCCTATATGTTGCTAAGAGATATATTGCTAGAAATATGAATCCCAAAGGCGACATTTCATTGTAATTGTAGTGCCTGAGCCAACAGATATAAGAAAGTGAAGGGTTGATTTGGGGCTTGTAATTTGTCGCTTTAGGTCAAAGTAACAAAATCCTCTATAGGTGACAGAATGGACAAAAGACGAACGACGGTCCCCAGATTGGGCTCCGTATCATGCCGTGGATATAAGACGTCACATTCATGCAAGAATACTATTGTCAAGTCAAATACATGGAATGTAAGTGAAAGTAGTGTTTTTCAGTCCAATTTTAACATTGTACATGTTACAAAGAAGAAATAATGCAAGTCAATTTATACGTTTTATGTAAATAGTAACATGGATAAATGTACAATATTTTACATTCCCATCAGTCTCTTTCATTCTGTAAAACGCACTTTCCAGTCACGCACTGTTATGACACACCATGCTCACATATAGCATAAGACGGTTTGTATGAAGTGTGATTCGATTTCGGTGTTTTTCAAAGTCAAATACAAATGGATATGGATTCTCGTAACATAGTTAATGAAAGAAAGCCTGTTTGATACATGGCCTCTTAGGAAAACAGCCATGTCTCCGTATTCTTTCAGCTCATATCACATATTATCAGTCAATGTTCAGAAACATTCTATACTTTGTCTGTTGAAATTGTGCTGCCTTGTTTGTAAACATGTCGAGCAGTGGATCGTGATCTTAGACGCCTCCAAGAATAGTCATAGGACTTCATCAATGCGACTGATTTGACGTGACCTGATACCATTCTGTACACCACCCTCCGCACAAAGACACTGCAGTTCTGAGACACAATATTGTTCACCTGATCTCTGACAATTTTGGTTCCAAAGAGTCAAGACAAGACATGGTTAACTGTAAGTGCTCGTTACGCCGAATAAATGCATATTTAACATAGAGAGCTAGATTGGGTAGGGTGGATTCATTATTAGTTGTTAATAAACTGGTAAAAGCTATCAGTGGTGGTTCCGACAGATAACGTTCTGGGATACACATGTAACGTAAATCTTCATAAAATGGACAGTCAAGGGTAAAATGTAGCTCATCTTCTACTGAAGAATTACATAAAGGACAAGATCTTTCAGATTTTGGGATGGACCGTTTTCTACCTCTATTTACCATTAAGTCCAACAAACCTGTCCTATATTTGACAAATATATTTCTATTACACTTAAAGGTAAGTTTAGATAAATACAGTTCAGGCTGTAATAGGTTTTTAAATGCTCTATATAATTCGTAACGAGAACTGCTTTCTAGAGTGAAATGCCATTCCTGATGAAACATGTTTACCGCTCGATCACGAAATTCTTTTAAAAACATAAAGACATCGCCCACACCCTGGCTTATCCATATAAACCCATATCCATGAGAAAACAAAAGATTTCTAATATGTGATGCCCAAGATATTTTACCCATATTATCTAGATGAACCATCATATTATAAGATATTTTTGGTAGACGACTTTCATGCATTAACAGAATCTTAAACCAATATTTAAGGCATCGTATTTGCGAATTAATATATATAGGATGTCTCCCGCATTCACCGTAAACCATACAATTTGGAGTAGCGGATCCAACACATAAAAACTTCTTGCAAGCCATAAGATGTAATCTCTCCAAGTAATCGTAGCGTTGAAATCCCCACACTTCCGATCCATATAATGAAATGGGTTGTTTCTAGGCATCAAACAGTTTGAAAAATATATTTGGAGTTAAAATTCCACATTCATGAGAGATAGATAAAATTGAGATCATTGCTTTCTTTGCACGTAGGAACAAGTCATAGACACAACTTTTTAAGCTCATCGTATTTGAAAAATTTATCCCCAGATATTTATATTGATTAACAATAGCAACAGATTTTCCGTGAAGAGACCATTTCTCCTTAGATGCAACAGCGCCACCCCTTCTGAATATGACTATTTTAGTTTTGTCTAAATTTACGGATAGTTTCCAGTTTTCAGAATAACTTTCAAGAATATTTAGCTGATTTTGCAAACCAATAATAGTTTCAGATATCAAAATGACATCGTCTGCAAATAGGAGCATAAACAGTTATATCATATCTGGGAACATCTGTACACCTTGTTTACCCTTTTGCATAACCTCATAATAAAATTCGTTTATGAAGAATGAGAACAAAATCGGACTTACAATGCATCCTTGTCGTAGTCCCATTGGGCAGTCAAAATAATCTGTTACACCAGAACCACATCGTACACAAGATTTTACATTTGAATACATTGCTTTTAACATAGTATACATTTTCCCGCTTAAACCGGCATTACGTAAGCAATACCATAATTTGTGTCTATCTACAGAATCGAATGCTTTCTTAAAATCGACAAAAGCTACATACAGTTTGTGTTTTCGACGGGATAAACATTTCTGAATCAGTGCATACAAAGTAAAAATATGATCAGTTGTGGAGTATTGCTTACGAAAACCAGCTTGATTCTCAGGAATCTTATCTTTCACGTTTGCCCATTTAGAGAGTCGGGTATTTAGTATAGAAGTGAAGACTTTGCCGGGAATACTCATAAGAGATATCCCCCTGTAATTATCGGGATTATTAAAGTCACCTTTCTTGTGAATATTGGGACAATAATAGAGATTGACCAACTGCGAGGAAATACACCTTTTGTGAATAAATTATTAAAGCATTTGTTGAGAAATGGAAAAATTTCGGTAATAGAACATTTAAGCATTTCAATAATGATACTATCGGGACCAGCTGCTTTTCCACATTTCAATTGTGAAATTGCATTTGTGATTTCATCATCCGATATAGGCGAGTCTAGTACAAGTTCATCTACTTCATCATAGTCCCCATTAAAATCATGCGAAATTTCTAAAATGTCTTGGCCATGGTCAAACTGATCGAGCACTGAATTATTTGCGAAAACATTCCTGAAATGAATGAGCCACTCGGGTTTGGAAATTGAATTTTGTTGAGAGCATTTAGTTCTGATATGTCGAATTTCTTTCCAGAATTTAGACTGACAATGCATGGAATTACTGAGCCTGTTTAGTTTATTACATTTGAGTTCATGTTTAAAGTTTCTGTAACATGTCTTGTACCTATTTCGCTCTTTACAGTATGTCCGTCTGTTACTATCAGTGCGTTGACATCGAAACTTTCTTAAAGCTCTACGTGCATTTCTCTTGGCCATTTTACATTCTCTGCTGAACGGTTTATATTTATTCTTTGCACGCCTTTTTCATACATTCGGCCGATTTCAATATCGTATTAACGAGATCATTGACAGCACCATCAATATCAACCTCAAGTTTAATCAGCGGTTTTTCACCAGAATGCCCCAATTCCTCACGTAGAGTATTCAGAAATGAAGTACAGAATGAGTCATTCCAAAATATCTTATCCGTAATGGTTGGGTTGTTATTAGACACATTTGATGTAGGGTTCATTTTGGGGAAGCTACAGGATAACTCAAGTGGAAAATGATCTGAATCAGAGTGTTCAACGATATTAAAGTGTTGAAAATATTGGAATAATTCCGGGGAACAAATAAAGTAGTCATTTACACTACAACCTTTCTCACTACAGTATGTAAACTCACCATTTATGTCCCCGTTCACTCTACCGTTAACTATGAATAAATGGAAAGCATAACACATATCTAGCAATATGCAACCAAATCTATTTACCGTACTATCATGAGATTTACGATTCTCGACTGGGGTGTCATCATCGTCACAGTATAAACCAAAGTTGTGAAAGTCCTCACTCGGACACACAATAGGATTATTGAGTTGACCAGTTCTAGCGTTCATATCTCAACATAACATCAGATGAGAGTTGCTGAACTCTGTTAAGTTATCAACTAGGAGTTGTTCAAGTTTATCAATGCTGCAACTTGAGTCACAATTATCATAATATGGTGAACCCATAGGAGGTATATAGGTACACAACAGTTTTATATCTTTGTCGATGAAAAATATTTCTTTTGACAAATTTACACAAAGAGCGTTATCAATATGTAATTTTGACAACGTACATAGTTTCTTGATTGATTCGTGAATGCACAGGCATACTCCACCGGATAGACGACCAAACTTGGACAGTTTAACTGCAGGACAATAGAATACGTCGTATCCATCTAACCAGTTCATGTTTAAATTCTCAACAAATGTCTCTACTAAGCATATAATTTTGAATTTCCTGAGATAGTCAATAAAGTCTGAATCTTGGATTTTACTTTTCAAACCATTTACATTCCAGCACAGAAAAGTAAAATGTTCGTCTGCGTGGTTATCACACGATGCACCGTCAGGACTGCGTGCGGTGTTCCATGAGAAGGGTTCCTGTGAAGGTTGTTCCGGGCTTTGGCCACACTGCTAGGCAGTTGCACCCTGAGCAGTGGCATCGTTACGGTTCTGACTCCGTGTTGAGATCCTTCTACCTATGCTGCGTGACGTATCATGCTGATCCGAGGTTGATTTCACGCTACCTGTTCGTGGCACTGACACGAGCCTACCATTCTTAAAGAATCCGAACTGACCTGTTCCTTTCAGCGTTTGTAGTTGCTTACGTTGACGTGTTGTGAGGTTACTCGCAATTCCGTAGCCGTTTTTTTTCAGGACCGCTCTCGCCTTCAGAGCTCGAACCTTGTCGTCAGATGCCTGTAGTTTCACAATCATTGGGCGAGGTCTGTCCGAGTTGGGGCGTTTAGCGCCAAGACGGTGGGCCCTGATGACGTCAGATGACTGCCATGTTTTGAAAGTAACATTTTCATTTAAAACATTCAGAGCTGCTTCCTTACAATATGTGGATTTCTCATTTTCACTCTCTGGTATGCCATATATGATGACGTTGTCCCGCCGACTGTAAGCCTCAAGTTTGTCGAGTTCAACGTCAATGCTTGATAAATGATCAAAAACTGTATCTACCTTTTCAGAAACCGCGTCAATATCGCTGTACATGATGTCCTGCTGATGGGTAATGGTGGTCATGTCCGCGCGCATGTCACTAATTGATCTCTCAAGTTGACTGTATTTGGTGTTCAAATTCGCTATTTCAGTTTTCACAGCACTAATTTGAGAAGTCAGATCAGATTTGACGTCACGTAACTCTTGTAGAATTGCGTCTTTAACTTGATCAAGAGTAGAGGGCCCGGGGTTACTTTCAATGTCATTAGAACACATAAGTATCTGTGACATAACACCCACGGGGAGAGCATGGCCCCCTGTCAAACACCTTTCACGTGCGCGTGGTGCACAGTGTGAAGTCAAAACCAGGTCGTTGTTAGTTTTCAAAGCTAATACTTGGGAATAGGAATACCAAATTACTGCAAATATTGATTACACAAATTCCGTACTATAGTAATTTTGTCCGTATTATAGTAATAAAATCAATTTTGAGCAAATTAACAATACATCTCTCCATTGATACCTTGTGGTCTCATTGCAATAATTCCTACTGTACAAGGCCATCTTCTGTGACATAGCAACATCCACCAAATGCATATTAGTTTGAGGTGTATTTAGGCGTAGCTTGTTGTTAAGTTAAGTAGATCTAAGGGTTGTATAACTGCACATCAACTGAATGTGGAAGGTAGTGTCCTTCAGTTTGTCGACCTTGATATGTTTACTAAATTCTTCTGTTATTAGATTCCTATGATGTACGAATAGCAATTATTTATGTGAATCCAGATGACTTTGTGGTGTGGAAAATGTTTCAGCTGATGTTCTGTTCTCTTTGCTGGTTTAATGACAGCGCGTCATCTCATATATAATGCGAGTGCTTGTAGATTTTTCACTCCCGTTTGAACATAGCACATGTTACAAAATAGATTCAAATGCTGGTGTATTAATACATTTTATAGACATCGTAACATGAATATATGCACAATATTTTACAATTTCTATCAGTCTCTTTCATTCTGTAAAACACACCTCTCAGTCACGCACTGTTATGACACACCAAGCTTTCTACTTCACAGAAAGCATAAGACGAGTTGTACAATACGAGATTCGACCTCGATGTCTTTCAAAGTCAAATGCAAATGAATATGGACTCTCGTAACACATATTTCATTTAAGAAAGACCGTTTGAGTCATTCAATATTCAGAAACATTCTATACTTTCTCTGATGAAATTGTGCTGCCTTGTTTGTAAACATGTCGAGCAGTGGATCGTGACCTTAGACGCCTCCAAGCATAGTCATAGGACTTCATCATTGCGACCGTTTTGACGTGACCCGATGCTCTTCTGTACACCACCCTCCGCACAAAGATGCTGCACTTCTGAGACACAACATTGTTCACCTGAGCTCGCACGAGTTTGTTTCCAAAGAGTCGTGTTTCCCAGTTCACATTATCGGGAATATGGTGGCAGAACTTGCTGAATACCACACACCTACGTCCGTACTTGATCGTCTGAACACTGAACTCGTAGAGAGCTGGCTTATTGTTCTGGGACTTGAATACTGTCCTTTTCCTGAATCCAGGGTTGGCACCCCGTCTTTTCTCCCATTGTGCTTCCTGTTTGAGAGGAACGTCAGGGGAGATGACTTTGACCCAGGGTGACCAGTCCATGTCTCTTAAGCTAAAGTTATTTTCAAAGACTTCCTCTCTTCTCAGAAGAGGTGCCGCAAACCTTGTTGGTTTCTGGTTGCCGTGCATCTTTAACGAAATGGGAGATGATTGTACCTTCAAAGATGTTGTTCTTGGTCTCTTGATGGATCTAGGTTTGGGTTTCCTGACCGTTTGCATGAATGTTGTTTTCTTCAAGGTGGAAGCTTTGACACCTTTCTTTGCGGCACCGCTTGTCTTCGTGGTTGTCGTTGTCGATGTCGTTGATGGAACAGGGGGAACTATTCCATCACGAAGGGATGTAAACATTCCTTCCATGTCTTTGCTGAGAGTGCCATCCCCACCGCGGGCTCGAACCTCTTTCTCGTATAACTGGTGAAGAGAAAAACAAACATCCCTTGTAAAAATGTGTTTTGTTGAAGGAGATTAAGTTGTGTAATGTGGGTAAATATGGTAAATATGTATACGTCAAGATAAGAAGGCATTTCAACTTACATGAAGGATGTCTGCTCCATGCTCCCTGTAGCAGATGGCCATGAGGAAGTCAAAGATGTTCGTAAAGTTGTCCAATTTAAGATGCCGACCTCCTGTATCGTTGGAAATGGTTTGAAAGAAGTCCCTAGCTCGACTGTCGCACTCAACTCCGTAGATTCTTATTCCCTAGAAAGTGATGGAGATATACAGTCAGTGGACTAAGTACGCATGAGTTCCGTATCCTTTTCATCTGATTTAAAATACAGTGACATGAACAGATAAACAAATAGGAATGCAGATGAAATGAGCTCACCGTTGTTTGGAGTGTTTTAATTTCCTTTCTCCAGTCTATCTTTTGTGTATTGCCTCTGAAGTTCGGATCGTGAGGGTTGTCATCCCCGACAACGACGAGAACACGGTTAGATCCTGGTGTCCATGACAACTCCTCCCGAACTTGTCTGAGAACAAGCTCGTAACACTCGCCATCGTCTGCGTTTCCTCCTGTATTTTCGACGTTCATGACGAAGTCGCAGAGTTCTTTGACGTTAGTGGAGAAGTCGATCCACTTTGTGACATACCTGGATTTGGTACAGTAATCACCGTGTGCGAAAACGGCTATTCTGATTGCGGGTATGTCAGCTTGGAGTCGCTGTATCATGTCCTGGAGTCGACCTCGGACTTCGGCCAGACAGGCTTCCATTGAGCCTGTTGTGTCGAAGGAGAAGACAATCTCCGGAAGTCCACCAGGAGGAATTAAAGCCATACTGAACCTGTTGAAAAAGTGAAAAGAAATTAATTACATGTGTACAAGAAGATGTTCCTGTCAAATTGATGCAGTCATATATTACCCCTGCTTTGAGCATTGTGGGAAAAGAGAAGCCGTATAAAATGCAACATTTTGTTAATGCTAACCTTAGTTTTGATATTCTCAATAAACAAATACTTGAAACGTTTAAGGAAATTCATTCATTAATGACATAAACATATGAGTGAACGTAAATATTTTGACGGAATTCTGAAACACAAGTTCAGTAGATTTGATGTAATAGCTTTTACTTAATTCTGGACAGATAAATAATTATGCAACATTTCTTTAGCAGCGGTGCTCATGACATTAGACCCAATTGCATATATGTGTACACTACCAGTGTAAATATCGTCCACGAGTTACCTTTTTTAAATTATGACGGTTGATATTCAGTTTTTTTACTTCGCTGCTATTAGGCGTAACTGACAGATGGTTAAGTCTTTCAACTTCTGTGTGTGAGAGTACATGTAGACTGATACTACTCAGCGAGCCCGCCAGCTTATATACTGGCTGGTAGGCAATCGATAAGAACTCGCTGAGGCTTGTTGTGTTGACATGTTCAGACCGGTTCTTTGGTTGCGTTTTAAAGATCAGACAATGTCAGACATGCGTTTTGAACAGCATATGCTTAATTTCTTGAAACAAACGAATTAATCAGTAGAGGATGGAAAAGTATTGGGTGATTATTACAACACCTCTGACTCAGGAAATCTGCTGGTTTTGAAAGTGACATATGCAGAATCGACATGTGAAACGTGCGTTCAGAACCAGTGAACATACTCTCTCAAATACGTTGTTGATATCAAATCTCTTTACACTGTCTGTAGGAGGATATTATCGTCGTAAACGCTATGTACCGGCAATGGGCAGAGTTTGTATATTTTGAGATGACATCATTGCTTCGCGGAATGCTGTATTTGCCAGTCACAATGTCAATATTATACTCCCTAAGAATGTATAGGAATATTGCACATGTTTCTTATACAAAAGTATCGTTGTTAAGTAATAGCTTGCACATGACAGACTGGCAATATGCCTTCCTACCTTTTAGCAGGATACTGTGTGAACATGAAACATGAGAGGTTTTAAATAGGTATATGTTCCCAGATACTGCGACCCAGTTGTCACGAAACGAACCACTTTATCTTTTCAATGTATTTTAAAATTCCGACATTACTTTCTAACCAGCCCCAAGGTATAATTATGTTTTCTCTCACAAAAAAATATTTTTCTTTAACTAGCGAGAAAACAGTTTCGTAAACTAATTCAAAATACTACTATTGACCAGTTTTCATGGTATTTGCTATTAGTCATAGTTTTGTGATCAGTTGTGATATTGACCGTAAATTGTTCAACGCTGACCAGTTTCCATGATAAAAAGAAACACAGTTTTTCACGAAATGAACCACTTCCTCTTTTATAGATATTTTAACAGATTGACCGCACTTTTTAAACAGCCGCAAGATATAATTATTATTTCTCTAGCAAAAATAGAGCCAGACGACCCAGACCAGCTTCCATGATAAAAAAAAACATCAGGAAAATAATGTCGTCACTATTCGATTTAATTCATGAATATGCTGAACATATATGTATGTATCGGGATATGTCTACACATTATATTGACGTACTGTCGATGAAAGTGTAAGATACGATCGTATCTCTGTATCTCTGTAGATAATACATTTTGGTTTCTGTATTTTAGTATGGTACAAGATGAAAATGCGACGAAGACGAAGAAGATTTTAATTTTAATTTGTTGCTAATAGTTGACTAAATATTGATGTTGATGGATACATGTAATAGTAAGATGGGATATATTTTCCCTTTTTCAATTTATAGTGGACAAACAGAAAGGAACCGGTTTTGAACTGCAGTTGTATTGAGATTACATCGTCATTGTAACATAATTGCATATGAGATAGGGTCACTCATTAGAATTGACAAAATATTGGGAAAAGATCGTAAAGTGGACAACAGTCCATAATGTATTTTCCAAGCTCGAGTACTGACGTGTATGTAACATAATGGTTCAGAAATGACTTATGCTTAACGTGCCAATTCTGAAACAAGAATAATAATAATTCATTGTGGATAATTTGGTTTATTGCCGCAACCATGTGCAATCACAGTTATTTCTCACTGCAGTAAATACACACGTGTTTCACTCGTATCACTGCCTTGCACCGTGTGACCTCAACACAACATTTCATTCATATTCAACGGTCCGCACGTATATATGTTAAAGAGCGAGAAAAGTGATTCACTGTGAAGTTGGTTTTACCAGCCTTATCAGATACAGCATGTATAAAATGCTTAAAACGGTGAAATGTGTTAAAAGATGATTAATACTGAAAGAGCTTCTTGCTGAGGTATGTCAGTAATACATTAAACAAACAAGTCCACAGACCGTGTATCAAAGATATCTCAAATATATCACTGAGCAAAGAGCTTGGAAAGAAAGCAGAGTGTTATCATGATCACTACTAGGTAGCAGTTCTGCCTTGTGGTCACATGTTTCCCTTAACATTCTATATTCACGTCACAATGACAGCTAGATTACACAGCATTGTTGACCGCCTCCGCGGTGTAGTGGTTAGAGCGTCCGCCCGGAGTGCGGAAGGTCGCGGGTTCGATCCCCGACCGCGTCATACCACAAGACGTTAAAATATTGTACTTGTTGGTCCCTGTCTGGCGCTGGGCATTAATGGGTACAACAAGGACTGGTCGGCTCGGAGTCAGTATAATGTGTCTGAGTGGGGTATTCATGCTTCACTGCGGCATGGTATCTCAGTGGGCTAGCACCATAAAAAACCCAGCTTCAGTCTGGGCTAGTACAAGCAGCCGCAAATACACATACACACGCATGCACGTCGTCATATTAGCGAAATATTCTCAAGCACGACGTTAAACCTAATTTCACCTCACCTCACCACACATCATTGTTAGCACGTTCATTAGTTCCGCGTTCTTGTTTTGAAATTTGATACACTGATAAGATTGTTTTCATGTATTGATGATATTTTAAGCATAGTTTTGTGTTGACTCTACTCTGAGAATGAAAAGTTCATGAAAACGTGACACCGACTACAACAGAATATGTTAACACAAAGTCGCAGCACACGTAAAATGGATTTGTGATTCAAGAACAGCGTTTATGACCTTTGGAAATTATCTCTCGAACGCGTTGTTTACGTTCGTTTATCCTCACACGTGGGTCTGGGACTCGGTTTCATTGAGTAGTGCAATGCAGCGTAGCGAGTTTGGAAAGAATGTATGACGAGTACACTTCGCGGATTGTTATACTCAGCAAGCAGATTTGCCAGATGCCTGATGTCCCTGGATGTTGTGTGGTCAACACAAAATAAGATATATCGTTGCTGGTTGTTAAAGGCAGTGCTTTGGATGACAAAGATAGGAATAATGTTCAGCAAATATGATGACAGCAAATATTGATTAAAGAAATAGCTCATTATGGTGAATATATCACAAATATTTATTTTGAGCCCAAATGTACCTCTCCATTGGCACGTTATGGTTTCAATGCAATACTTTCCACAGTACAAGGTTATCTTCTGTCACTTAAAAACATCCACAATTTAGTTTGAGATGTAATAGGTGTTGCTTGTTGTTAAGTCAAGTAGATTTTAAGAGTTGTATAACGGCACATCAACTGAAGGTGGGAGGTATTGTCCTTTAGTTGGTCGACGTTTACATGTATTCATGATTCCCATGATTTACAAAAAGTAATTAATTCCCGTTCATCTAAATGACTATGTGGTGTGGAAAACGTTTTCGCTGATGTTCTGTTCTTTATGCTGGTTAAAATGGTTCCATATTGGTAGCTGATATTTACTCTTCGGGTCAAAGACACGCGCATGGATACAGACGAATGGTGATAATCGGGACAAATCTGGGTCCCGTTTCTCAAAGCGATGGTAGCGCTGAGGTGATCGTAACTCCCATACTTTAACATAGACTTACAACAGTCGTAGCGATACGATCGCATTGAGGAACGGGGCCCAGGAATCAACGACTACAGAATCCAATCAGGGACCCAAAAGTGATGGCTAGAACTGGAACACTGATTTCAGTGATGAGTGAGTGAGTGAGTTGAGTTTTACGCCGCACTCAGCAATATTCCAGCTATATGGCGGCGGTCTGTAAATAATCGAGTCTGGACCAGACAATCCAGTGATCAACAGCATGAGCATCGATCTGCGCAATTGGGAACCGATGACATGTGTTAACCAAGTCAGCGAGCCTGACCACCCGATCCCGTTAGTCGCCTTTTACGACAAGCAGTCGCCTTTTATGACAAGAATGGGTTGCTGAAGACCTATTCTACCCCGGATCTTCACGAGTCGATTTCAGTGATGATCACCCTGTAGTCGAACATGACAGTGTCTTTGTGTTAACAATTATATTTAAAGCCCTCGATATGTTGTTAAGACAGATCATTTGTTGGAAATGTGAAGCATACAGGCGACATTTTGTTGTATTTGTTATGCCTGAGCCAACATATATACGGATGCTAAAGATCTGGGGTTTGTAGTTTATCCTTAAGGTCAAAGTAATAACTTTGACAATGAATCGACAAAAGACAAACAGTGGTTAAGAGCATGAGATACGTTTCATGCCGTGGGTATGCGACAGCACACTTATGCAGGAATACTATTGTCAAAGACAATATATAGAATATAAGTGATAGTAGTTTTTTCAGTCCCGTTTGAACATTGCACATGTTACAAAGAAGATACAAATGCAGGTGAATTTTACATTTTATATACATAGTAACATGGATAAATGTACAATATTTTACATTTCAACCAGTCTCTTTCATTCCTCAAAACACAACTCTCAGTCACGCACTGTTATGAAACACCATGCTCACATTTAGCTTAAAGGAGGTGTACCATATGCGATTCGATCTCGATGTCTTTCCAAGTCAAATGCAAATGAATATGGACTCTCGTACCATAGTTAATTCAAGAAAGCCCGTTTGATATATGGTTTTCTCAGGAAAAACAGTAATGTGTCCGTATTCATTCAGCACATATAAATCAATATTCAGAAACATTCTATACTTTGTCTGATGATATTGTGCTGCCTTGTTTGTAAACATGTCGAGCAGCGGATCGTGATCTTAGACGCCTCCAAGCGTAGTCATAGGACTTCATCATTGCGGCTGTTTTGACGTGACCCGATGCTCTTCTGTACACCACCCTCCGCACAAAAACACTACAGTTCTGAGACACAACATTGTTCACCTGAGCTCTGATAATTTTGTTTCCAAGGAGTCGTGTTTCCCAGTTCACATTATCGGGAATGTGGTGGCAGAACATGCTGAATACCACACACCTACGTCCGTACTTGATCGTCTGAACACTGAACTCATAGACAGCTGGCTTATTGTTCTTGGACTTGAACACTGTCCTTTTCCTGAATCCAGGGTTGGCACCCCGTCTTTTCTCCCATTGTGCTTCCTGTTTGAGAGGAACGTCAGGGGAGATGACTTTGATCCAGGATGACCAGTCCATGTCTCTTAAGCTAAAGTTATTTTCAAAGACTTCCTCCCTTCTCAGAAGAGGTGCCGCAAACTTTGTTGGTTTCTGGTTGCCGTGCATCTTCAACGACAGGGGAGATGATTGTACCTTCAAAGAGGTTGTTGTTGGCCTCTTGATGGATCTAGGTTTGGGTTTCCTGACCCTTGGCATGGATATTGTTTTCATTAAGGTGGAAGCTTTGACACCTTTCTTCGTGGCACCGCTAGTAATCGTCGTTGTCGTTGATGAAACAGGGGGGACTATTCCATCACGAAGGGATGTAAACATTCCTTCCATGTCTTTGCTGAGGGTACCATCCCCACCGCGGGCTCGAACCTCTTTCTCGTATAACTGGTGAAGAAAAAACAAACCTCCCTTGTAAAAATGTGTGTTTTGGTAAAGGAGATTAAGTTGTGTAATGTGAGTAAATATGGTAAATATCTATACGTCAAGATGAGAAAGTATTTCAACTTACATCAAGGATGTCTGCTCCATGCTCCCTGTAGCAGATGGCCATGAGGAAGTCAAATATGTTCGTAAAGTTGTCCAACTTAAGATGCCGACCTCCTGTCTCTTTGGAAATGGTTTGGAAGAATGTCGTAGCTCGACTGTCGCACTCAACTCCGTAGATTCTTATTCCCTAGAAAGTGATGGAGATATACAGTCAGTGGACTAAGTACTCATGAGTTTCGTATACTTTTCATTTGATTACAAATACAGTGAAATGAACAGATACACAGCTATGAATTCAGTGGAAATGAACTTACCATTGTTTGGAATGTTTTAATTTCCTCTCTCCAGTTTATCTTTTGTGTATTGCCTCTGAAGTTCGGTTCGTGGGGGTCGTCGTCCCCGACAACGACGAGAACACGGTTAGATCCTGGTGTCCATGACAACTTCTCCCCCACTTGTCTGAGAACAAGCTCGTAACACTCGCCGCCATCATTAGTGCCCCCGGTACCTTTGACGTTCATGACGAAGTCGCAGAGTTTCTTGACGTCAGTGGAGAAGTCGATCCACTTTGTGACATATGTGGATTTGGTACAGTAATCACCATGTGCAAAGACAGCAATTCTGATGGCGGGGATGTCAGCCTGGAGTCGCTGTATCATGTCCTGGAGTCGACCCCGCACTTCGGCAAGACAGTCTTCCATTGAGCCTGTTGTGTCGAAGGAGAAGACTATTTCCGGAAGTCCACCAGGAGGAAGCAATGCCATGTTGAATCTGTTGGATAGATAGGAGCATATGAAGATTTTTTTTTATATTGACGTAGTCCTATATTATGAGGTTATCTTATGAGAATATTTTGTTAATGTGAACCTTACTTTTGATATAGTCAAGTGAAAAATAATATTAACGTTGAAGAAAGTTCGTTTATAAATGACATCAGTAAAAATAAATATTTTGATTAGATTTAAAGCTGACCTTCATGTAAAATATAAATAGAATAATATGTAACATTTCTATAGTAGCTGTGTAATTAATCCCAGTAGCGTATGTATGCACAGTACCGCTGTCAATATCTTATAGTGGTTACCTTGTATTGAATTGTGGCGGAAGATATTTAGTTCTTTTACTTTGCTGATATAAGGTGTAACTGGCAGATAGTTAAGTCTTTCAACTGTAGCGTATGTCAGTAGACTGATCTTACTCAGCGAGCCGCCCAGCTTTTATACTGGCTGTGGGGTGATTAATGGGAACTCGCTGGTACATGTTGTGATGACATGTTCAAGCTTGTCCTGTGGTTGTGTTTTGAAATCAGACAATGTTCATGTCTCTGCGTTTCAGGATATGCGCAATTTCTTGAAACCAAACAAAACCAACGGATTGATCAGTTGAGGACGGAAAGGTATTCGGGAACTACAACAGTTTTGACTCAGGATGTACTGTCATTGAATGTGGCTTATGCAGAATCGACAAACGTGAAACCTGTGTTTCGAAACAAATATACATACTCTCTCAAATACGTTGTTGATATCAAATCTCTTTGCACTGTCTGTCGGAGAATACTTTTGTCGTAAACGGTATGTAGCGGCAATGTGGAGAGTTTGCATGTTTTTAATACATCATTGACATCATTACTTCGCGGAATGCTTTTTTCGCCAGGCAGAATGTCAATACTATGAACCATGTATGAATATTGTACATATTGTTTCTTTGACAAACGTAACTTCGTTTAGTAATTGTTTGCACATGCTAGACTGGATATATGGCTTCCTATCTATCTTTTCACTGAGTAAACCATTATGACCTAAAAGCGCGATTGTTATTAATATTGCAACGTTGGACTTGGAGAATACTTTGTCGTTTCTAAGTTGCCCCGAGAAGCATCCCTCTTATATTTTCAAGAATATATGGCGGCCAAAACAATATTTTGCACAAAATATATCCCTCAATAAAATCCACTGTTAAAGTACAATAAACACTTTCTCTGAGATGCATTAGAAACATAAGACTTTTCAGTATCCCTCCTATTCATCACAAAAGTAACCACTTTCTCTTATTTTATTTTAACAGACCGACAGTACTTTTTAAACAACCCCAAGATATAACAGTGTTTCTTGGCACATACTGCAGGTTAACCTCAACTCGGTTTTGGATAAGTTCCAAAAGCAAGTTCAGAATAGAATAGCACGCGACTGAATAGTTTTCATGTTTTGCTTAAGGTTATACGTTTTTGAGCTGCGATTTTGGGGATCACTTGAACAACACTGAACAGGTTCTATGATTAAAGGAACACGGGGAAAATAAATTCGACACTACGTGTTCTGATATATAATTATGCTGAACTTCCATGCATGTTTTGGAAAATGTCGACACATTCTGTTGATGTAATTTCGAAGAACGTGTCATGTACGATCGTATGTCCATGCCAGTTAACAAGCTGGTTGTGTAACAATGCCATATCATACGATATAAAGGTAGAAGTAATTGGAAGCATAGACAAAAGCTTTTCAATGAAACAGTTACAAAACATGTCATTATAAAATTATAGTTTGGTTTCTGTATTTTATTTTGATTACATGTAATAGAAAAATGAGATTTGGATTTCTGTTGTTTATTTAAACTGGACAAACTGAAAGCACAGGATTTAATTTGAAATTGTATCAAATTAATGAAGTAAATATGTATTGACTTTGTCATTGTAGCAAAATTGGCGAAAAATCAGCTGATGGCTCACACATAAGAATTTACAAAATATAGGGAAAGGTATCCTCCCAAAACTTCCACATCCCCAGACTTCCACAGCTTATAACAACAACATTTGTGATTGACTGCACACACTTTAGCATACTGATTACCTCAGTCTGTAATGGTCTAACCCATTAACCAGTGATAAATACAAACAATCACTTTGTAATAAATTATATATTTTAATATGGCAGCGTTATTATCAAAAATACATATTTTTCTAGTTACATATAGCAGTCTATGTAAAACATTTATATAGAACTTATGTCCGTTAGGGCCGTTACGGTGGTAACATTACATACCGTCACAACGTCACTGCCGTAACATGCAGTGTTTACCTGTTGTTTTTTTTACATGACAGGGACGTCCATAAGTAAATTATTTGCTTATTACATATTCTTTAAACATTCTGAAATATCTGACTCACAACTTTCATTAAATTATCTTCTTTTTTTAAAGAATACATATAAAACTGGCTATTATTAAAAATGTCACTACTGTTATTGTGTCGCTACCATAACAATTAATGCCAATGTCCATACCATAACATTATCAATTTCCTTGATTGATTTATGTGTTTATGCCTGGATTTGGTAGTGCAAGTATGTTTGGTAGTAGAGCTTCAAGTAAGCAAATTAATTCATATTCTCATTTCGATTTTTTTGCTACATTTTACTTTATATTTGCAAATCAGAATTGAAAGGAATTGTTTGACTTGTTGGCCCCTTTTAAGCAGTAAAGATAAAATTTCAAAACTCATTAGCCATGTTATATTGTGAAACTTTATATTATAATATACATATACATTAAATGTACGTTACGCTTGCACAATGTATGGTTTGCATATTTAGAATACTATGAACGTAATCAACAACGTTTCAAGTTAAAGCAGGAAAACAAAATTTACAATTTTTGCCTACATAAAATATGATCGAATTTATATCATATATATTTCAGATATATTAACTAACTTCTCTCTTCTCTACTAAAATCTCTACTCTGCTAAGTCACGTGATGTATTATTGTCTCTTGTTTCAGTTCAGTGCACTTCCTGGGCTATCCGATTACCTAAAAAGGGGTGATGAAGAGTTGTTGTTTAAACAATGTTTGGTAGTATTGGGATGTGGACGATTTGGGATATAACCATAGGGAAAGGATCGTATTTCCCTAGCTCGAGTACTGACTTGTATGTAAAACAATGGTTCAGAAATGGCGACGAATTGAATTAACATGCCAATTCTGAAACAGGGTGTCTTTAAATTGTGGAAAATTTGGTTTATTGTCGCAACCATGTGTGATCAAAGTCGTTTCTAACTGCAGTAACTGAACATGCGCAGGGCCGTGTTACTACCTTTTATTGTGTGATTTCAACTTAACCTGATGTTTCATTCATATTGAACAGTCTTCACGTACATACGTTAAAGAGTGAGAAACACGATTCACTCTGAATTAGGTTTTACCAGCCGTATCATTTACAACATGTGTAAAATGCTTAAAACTGTAAAATGTGTGAAAAGATGAGTAATACTGAAAGAGCTTCTTGCTGAGGTATGTCAGTAATACACTAAAAGAACATGGTTACTACTTGGAAGCAGTTCTGCCTTGTGGCCATATATGTTTCACTTAACGTATTCAGCGGTGTGGCAACTGCAGTTAGATTACACAGAGTTCATCAGTTCCTCGTTCATATTATGATGTTGTTACACTGATGCACTCTCTTCATGGGTTGATGTTATTTCATATATAGTTTGTGTTGACACTAGTCTGAGAATGGCAAGTTTTGTGATGTTTCTAAGTTCATGAAAACGTGATACCAGATACAACAGAATGTGTTAACACAAAGTCGCAGCACACGTAAAATGGATTGGTGATCAAGAACAGCGTTTATGACCTTTGGAAAGTATCTCTCGAACGCGTTGTTTACGTTCGTTTCTCCTCACACGTGCGTCTAGGACTCGGTTTCATTGAGTAGTGCAGTGTAGTGTAGCGAGTTTAGAAAGAATGTGTGACGTGTATACTTCGCGGATTGTTATACTCAGCAAGCAGTTTGCCTGATGCCTGATCTCGCTGAATGTTGTGTGGTCAACACAGAAACATGACATATCGTTTTAAGTTTTTAAAGGTAATACTTGGGAATAGGAATACCAAATTACTGCAAATATTGATTACACAAATTCCGTACTATAGTAATTTTGTCCGTATTATAGTAATAAAATCAATTTTGAGCAAATTAACAATACATCTCTCCATTGATACCTTGTGGTCTCATTGCAATAATTCCTACTGTACAAGGCCATCTTCTGTGACATAGCAACATCCACCAAATGCATATTAGTTTGAGGTGTATTTAGGCGTAGCTTGTTGTTAAGTTAAGTAGATCTAAGGGTTGTATAACTGCACATCAACTGAATGTGGAAGGCAGTGTCCTTCAGTTTGTCGACCTTGATATGTTTACTAAATTCTTCTGTTATTAGATTCCTATGATGTACGAATAGCAATTATTTATGTGAATCCAGATGACTATGTGGTGTGGAAAATGTTTCAGCTGATGTTCTGTTCTCTTTGCTGGTTTAATGACAGCGCGTCATCTCATATATAATGTGAGTGCTTGTAGATTTTTCACTCCCGTTTGAACATAGCACATGTTACAAAGAAGATACAAATGCTGGTGTATTTATACATTTTATAGACATCGTAACATGAATATATGCACAATATTTTACAATTTCTATCAGTCTCTTTCATTCTGTAAAACACACCTCTCAGTCACGCACTGTTATGACACACCAAGCTTTCTACTTCACAGAAAGCATAAGACGAGTTGTACAATACGAGATTCGATCTCGTGTCTTTCAAAGTCAAATGCAAATGAATATGGACTCTCGTAACATATTTCATTTAAGAAAGACCGTTTGAGTCATTCAATATTCAGAAACATTCTATACTTTGTCTGATGAAATTGTGCTGCCTTGTTTGTAAACATGTCGAGCAGTGGATCGTGACCTTAGACGCCTCCAAGCATAGTCATAGGACTTCATCATTGCGACCGTTTTGACGTGACCCGATGCTCTTCTGTACACCACCCTCCGCACAAAGATGCTGCACTTCTGAGACACAACATTGTTCACCTGAGCTCGCACGAGTTTGTTTCCAAAGAGTCGTGTTTCCCAGTTCACATTATCGGGAATATGGTGGCAGAACTTGCTGAATACCACACACCTACGTCCGTACTTGATCGTCTGAACACTGAACTCGTAGAGAGCTGGCTTATTGTTCTGGGACTTGAATACTGTCCTTTTCCTGAATCCAGGGTTGGCACCCCGTCTTTTCTCCCATTGTGCATTCTGTTTAAGGGGGGCGTCAGGGGAGATAACCTTGACCCAGGGTGACCAGTCCATGTCTCTTAAGCTGAAATTATTCTCGAAGACTTCCTCTCTTCTCAAAAAGAGGTGTCACAAACTTCGCTGCTTTCTGGTTGCCGTGCATCTTTAACGAAATGGGAGATGTTTGTGCCTCCAAAGATTTTGGCCTCTTGATGGATCTAGGTTTAGGTTTCCTGACTTTCTGCATGGACGCTATCTTCTTTAATGTGGAAGTCTTCACATCATTCTTTGCGGCACCGCTAGTAATCGTCGTTGTCGTTGATGGAACAGGGGAAGCTATTCCATCACGTAGGGATGTAAACATTCCTTCCATGTCTTTGCTGAGGGTGCCATCCCCACAACGGGCTCGAACCTCTTTCTCGTATAACTGGTGAAGAGAAAAAACAAACATCCCTTGTAAAAATGTGTTTTGTTAAAGGTGATTAAGTTGTGTAAAGTGGGGAAAGCGTGTAAATATATATTACATGTACATGTATTTCAACTTACATCAAGGATGTCTGGTCCATGCTCCCTGTAGCAGATGGCCATGAGGAAGTCAAATATGTTCGTAAAGTTGTCCAATTTAAGATGCCGGCCTCCTGTCTCTTTGGAAATGGTTTGGAAGAATGTTGCAGCTCGGCTGTCGCACTCAACTCCGTAGATCCGTATTCCCTGGAAATTAATGGAGATATACAGTGAATGGATTAAGTACACACGAGTTTCGTGTATTTTTAATTTGATTACAAATACAGTGAAATGAACACATAAGCATCTAAGAATATTTAGAGGAAATGAGCTTACCATTTTTTGGAGTGTTTGAATTTCCTCTCTCCAGTCTATCCTTTGTGTATTGTCACTGAAGTTTGGATCGTGAGGGTTGTCATCCCCGACAACGACGAGAACACGGTTAGATCCTGGTGTCCATGACAACTTCTCCCCCACTTGTCTGAGAACAAGTTCGTAACACTCGCCCCCATCGTTCCTGCCTCCCGTCGTTTCCACGTTCATGACGAAGTCGCAGAGTTCTTTGATGTCAGTGGAGAAGTCGATCCATTTTGTGACATATGTGGATTTGGTACAGTAATCACCATGTGCAAAGACGGCCATTCTGATGGCGGGGATGTCAGCCTGGAGTCGCTGTATCATGTCCTGGAGTCGACTTCGGACTTCGGCCAGACAACTGCTCATAGAGCCTGTTGTGTCGAAGGAGAAGACAATCTCTGGAAGTCCACCAGGAGGAAGCAAAGCCATGTTGAATCTGTTGGATAGATAGAAGTATATAAAGTTGTTGTTTTTTATATTGACGTTGTCATATATTATGAGGTAAAATGTAACAATGTTAAATTGAACCTATTGTTTGATATTCCCAAGTGATAAACTATAAACGTAGAAGGAGGTTCGTTTATAAATGACATCAGTAAACATAAATATTTTGATTAGATTTAAAAACTGATCTTTATGTAAAATATAAATAGAATCGATAAAAATGTAACATTCTGTAGTAGTTGTGTAATTAGTCCCAGTAGCGTATGTATGTACACTAACACTGTAAATATCTTATACTGGTTACCTTGTTTTGAATTGTGACGGAAGATATTAGGTACTTCTACTTCGCTGATATAAGGTGTAACTGATTTCCAACTGAAGCGTTTGTCAGTAGACTGATCTTACTCAGCGAGCCGCCCAGCTTTTATACTGGCCGTGAGGCGATAAACGGGAACACGCTGGGACATGTTGTGATGGTATGTTCAGGCGTGTTCTGTGGTTGTGTTTTGATGATCAGACAATGTTCATGTCTCTGTGTTTCAGTATATGCGCAATTTCTTGAAACAAACATTAAAAACAAGCGGATTTATCAGTTGAGGATGGAATTTCTTTTTGGAATTATTACAACACTTTTGACTCAGGAAATGTACTGTCATTGAAAATGGCTTATGCAGAATCGACAACCGTGAAACGTGTTTTTCGAAACAAATGAACATACTCTCTCAAATACGTTGTTGATATCCAGTCTCCTTACACTGTCGGATAATACTTTCGTCGTAAATGACATGTAGCGGCAGTGTGGAGAGTTTGCATGTTTTGAGATGACATCATTGCTTCGCGGAATGTTGTATTTGCCAAGCAGAATGTCAATACTATAAAACATGTATGAATATTGTAGATATTGTTTCTTTGACAAACGTAGCTTCGTTTAGTAATTGTTTGCAGATGCTAGACTAGATATATGGCTTCCTATCTATCTGTTCATTATGTAAACTATTATGACCTAAAAGAGTGTTTGCCATTTACATTGCAACGTTGGACTTGGATACTACTTTGTCGTTTCTAAGTTGCCCCGAGAGGCATCCCACTTTTATATTTTCAAGAATATATGGGCGGCTAAAACACTATTTTGCTCAATATTAATATTGCTCAATAAAATCCACTGTTAAAGTACAATAAACACTTTCTCTGAGATGCATTAGAAACATAAGAAGTTTTAAATATCCATCCTATTTTCACGAATGTAACCACTTTCTCTTATTTTATTTTAACAGAACGACAGCATTTTTTAAAAAGCCCCAAGATATAAAAACATTATCTGACACATAAAGCAGGTTTACTTCAACTCCCTGAAAAAAGGTTTTGGATAAATTCGTAAACCAGTTCAGAATAGAACGCGACTGACTAATTTTCAGGATGTTTTGCAAAAGGTTATACTTATATAGAGGATCAGTTGAACAACCCTGAACAGGTTCTATGAGTAAAAGAAACACCGAGAAAATATGTTCGACACTACTTGTTCTAATATATAATATTGCTGGACATGTTTTAGAAAATGTCGACACATTCTATTGATGTAATTTCGATAGAACGTATCTCTATGCCTGCTAACAAACTGGTACTGTAACAATGCCATATCATACGATGTAAAGTTGGAAGCAATATAGAGAAAAGCTTTTCATTGAAACAGTTACAAAACATGTCATTATGAAACAGATTTTGGTTTCTGTATTTTATTATTGAAAGAAAGTGAGAAGAAGATGGACATTTCTTTTTAAATGTATAAGTAATATTCTTAATATATTTGGTCGCTTACCTGTGAGAGAAAGATGAGATGTGGATTTCTGTTTTTGATTTAAAGTGGACAAACTGAAAGCACAAGACGTAATTATTAAATATGTACTGAATTTGTCATCGTAGCAAAACTGCTGAAAGATCAGCTAATGGCTCACACGTCAGAATTTACAAAATATTGGGAAAGGATCGTTATGTGGACACAAGTACATTATGTATTTCCATAGCTGGTGAGCTGTCATGTATGTAAAATTATGGTTCAGAAATGGTGATCAATTAGGTTTAACATGACAATTTTGAAACCATACGTATTTTCAACTCTATTAAAACACTGCATTGGTACTAAGTGTGAAGCGCAATTCTGGTGTGCTCCGCCGTGATATTGCTGGAATATTGCTAAAAGCGGCGTACAACCCAACTCACTCACTCACTAAAACATGGTAGGACATTTGGTTTCTTGGTTAGCCAAGTCCTTTCTAACTGCAGTAAACGAACTTGCGCCTCGTTGATCGTTTGATTTCAACACAACATGACTTTTGATCCAGCCTACACATATACTTTAAATAAAATAATTCCCTCCGAAGAATGTCCCACAAACCTTATCATTTACAGCAATGTGAAATACTTTTTTATTAACACATAAATGTAATCGAAACGTGTTGCGATATTCGCTAACGCCGTTTTAATGAACCATTTAACAATATGGAAAGCTTGCTATTTCATACTGACAGATATTGTTCCTGTAACTTGTAGAGAAATATTTGGATACTCCTCTAATAGGGTATGCCAGTTTGTACACACACAAATGTGTTAAATGGCTAATAGTATATATACTGAAAGAGCTTCTTGCTGAGGTATAACAGTAATTCTTTAAGGAACAATTATTCCAACCGTATGTGAGTTACAGTGTTTACACATATGAAGGCGATTGATGATTCAAGAACAGTGTTCATGGTATTTGGAAATTATCTCTCAAACGCGTTGTTTACGTTCGTTTCTCCTCACACGCCCGTCTAGGACTCGGTTTCATTGAGTAGTGCAGTATAGTGTAGCGAGTTTGGAAAGAATGTAATGACGTGTTTACTTCGCGGATTGTTATGCTTAGTAAGCACTTTTGCCTGATGGCCCGCCACACATGTCGCTGTGGTCAACACAATAACATGGCATATCGTTGCTGATTTTCAAAGGCAATATACTACAGGACGAAGCTAGCTGCAACAAATTACAGCAACTATTGATTGAAACAATTGCATATTGTGGAAATACATCCTAAAACTTAACATGGAACATAAATATCTCCCACCATTATTCCTTTATTGTTTAATGTTAATTTCTACTGTACAGGTTTATGTTATGTGGTGTTAAAACACCCAGAGTTTCCAGTCACGGACCTTAACGTGATGATTTAAGTGATCAACATCCTGTAGCCGAACATGACAGCAAATATGAGTTAAACGTTCCGGGCATGCTGTTAAAAATGTTGGTTGGTTGGTTTGTTGTTTAACGCAGCACTCAGCAATATTCCAGCTATATGGCGGCGGTCTGTAATTAATCGAGTCTGGACCAGACAATCCAGTGAACGGCATCAAGAGAATCGGGATGGGATGACATGCGAGTCTGACCATCCGATCCCGTTAGTCGCCTCTTACTACAAGCATTGGTTACTGAAGATCATTTTTTACCCGGATCTTAACGGGTCTATTACAAATGTGATGGGGGAAACAAGAACATCAACCCCAAAAGTTGAGGTTGGAATATGGGGTTGCAATATGTCACTTTAAGTAGAAGTCAGGGCTTTTTATGTCATTAAATCAAACGTACACAAGACAACGGAGTAGTCTCTTCCTCGTATAACTGGTGAAGAGGAAGACTCATTGAGTGAGTGAGTAAGTGAGTGAGTGAGTATGGTTTTACGCCGCTTTTAGCAATATTCCAGCAATATCACGGCGGAGGACACCAGAAATGGGCTTCACACATTGTACCCATGTGGGGAATCGAACCCGGGTCTTCGGCGTCACGAGCCAACGCTTTAACCACTAGGTTACCCCACCGCCCCGAGGAAGACTCCTTGAAGGAGAAATGTATCATGTTGATGTGCAAGAGTACAGATTCATACAAGAATACATTGGATCAGAAACTATAATGTATGCAAGTGCTTGTAGTTTGCTTTGTACATTCCTTACATTACACATATCACACAAAAACATAAATGTAGGTTAATGAATGAGTTCTATTTACATTGTAATATAAACAATGACATGTACAACAATTAACATTTCTTCAGTCTCTGTCATTCGGCAGAACACGCTTCACCTCAGTCACACAATGGTATGGCATACCATGACTTCTTCATATAATTATAAAACATGAGAGAAGTTGTATAATATGAGATTCGATCTTTCACAGTCACTTATATGAATATGGACTCTCCTATAAGAGTTAATTTTACAAAGTCCGTCTTAGGAAAACAGCCATGTCTCCGTCTCTTTCAGCATACACCTGATATTATCAGTCAATGTTCAGAAACATTCTATACTTTATCTGATGAAATTGTGCTTCCTTGTTTGTAAACATGTCGAGCAGTGGATCGTGATGGTAGGCGCCTCCAAGCGTAGTATAGGACTTCATCATTGCGGCTGCTTGGACGTGAGCTGATGCTCGTCTATATACCACCCTCCGCACGAAGACACTGCAGTTCTGAGACACAACATTGTTCACCTGAGCTCTGACAAGTTTGTTTCCAAGGAGTTGTGTTTCCCAGTTAACATTATTGGGAATATGGTGACCGAACATGCTGAATACCACACACCTACGCCCGTACTTGATCGTCTGAACACTGATCTCGTAGAAAGCTGGCTTATTGTTCTTGAACTTGAACACTGTCCTTCTCTTGAATCCAGGGTTGGCACCCCGTCTTTTCTCCCATTGTGCATTCTGTTTGAGAGGAAGATCAGGGGAGATAACTTTAACCCAGTGTGACCAGTCCATGTCTCTTAAGCTGAAGTTGTTTTCAAAGACCTCCTCTCTTCTCAGAAGAGGTGTCACAAACTTTGATGGTTTCTGGAATTAAGAAATTGTTAGATCATACGTCTTGTACAAGTCATAACAGAATAACTAAATTTATCCATCTCATTGTTACCGCTCATCGTTTACGAAATGAGAGAAAATGTTACCTTTAAAGGTTTTGTCCTTGTCCTCCTGATGCATCTGGGTTTTGGTTTCCTGACTTTCTGCATGGATGTTATTTTGTTTAAGGGAGAAGCCTTCGCAGTTTTCTCTGCGGCGCCGCTTGTAATCGTTGTCGTCGTCGTCGTTGATTGAACAGGGGAAGCTATTCTATCACGTAGGAATGTAAACATTCCTTCCATGTCATAGCCGAGGGTACCATCCCTACAACGGGCTCGAACCTCTTTCTCGTATAACTGGTGAAGAGAAAAACAAACCTCCCCGATAAACGTGTTTCGTTTCCTTTATGTTGTTTAATGTTAAATGTGGGGAAATATGAAAAATTCTATGACAGGAGAAGAGGTTATTTCAACTTACATGAAGGATGTCTGCTCCATGCTCCCTGTAGCAGATGGCCATGAGGAGGTCAAATATGTTTGTAAAGTTGTCCAATTTTAGATGCCGACCTCATTCCCTTCGGAAATAGTTTAACACTCGCCCCCATCGTCCACGTTCAGGTCGAAGTCGCAGAGTTCTTTGATGTCAGTGGAGAAGTCGATCCATTTCGTGACATATGTGGACGCTGTACTGTAATCACCGTGGGCGAAGACGGCCATTCTGATGGCGGGGATGTCAGCCTGGAGTCGCTGTATCATGTCCTGGAGTCGACCTCGGACTTCGGCCAGACAACTGCTCATAGAGCCGGTTGTGTCGAAGGAGAAGACAATCTCTGGAAGTCCACCAGGAGGAAGCAGAGCCATGATGAATCTGTTGGGAAAAGTCCAAACATCTGATTTCAATTTCAATGTGTATATGTTGAGTAAAAAGAATACATTCAAATGATGAACAAATTCATTTTCAAATGAACATCCGTTTACCATAATTATTTTGATTAAATGTGTTAAGTTGATTTGATTTCATAACCGACCTATATTGAGTAGATTTAAATCTATGTTTAGTAGATTTTATCTAGTAACTGACCTTATCTAATAGTTAAATATGTAACATTTCTGTATTAGCTGTACTAATGTAATTAGACCCAGTTGATTATGTACTCTATCCCTGTATACCGTATTAGAATTGCGACGGTAGATATTGAGTTCTTTTATTTCGCTGGTATTAGGTGTAGCTCGTAGATGGTTTAATCTTTCAACTCTAGTGTATGTGAGTAGACTGATCTTACTCAGAGAGTTGCCCAGCTTTGATACTGAGTGGCGATCAATGACAGCTGGTTGCGACTTGTGTTAGCTGTCATGTTTAGGCCTGTACTTTGGTTGTGTTTTGAAGAGTAGACGATATTCATATCTCTGCGTTTAAGCGAATTCTTCCGCAGGGAAACATAGAAAATAAACGGAAAAATATGTTGAAGATAAATTTAATCGGTAAGTTATCCACACCCATTGACGTGGCGAACGTGTTATCATTGAAAGTGTAATTTGCAGAATGGACACAGGAAACATTCTTTTAGAAACTTATAAACATACTCTCCAAAATACATTGTTGATATCCATGCTCCTTACACTGCCTGTCCCGGGATGCCTTTGCCGTAAACGGTGTGCAGCCGCAATGTTGGTTGGTAGATTATTGGAGATGACATCATTGCTTCGGGTCTCAGTTTTGCAGTTTCAAGAATGTACAACTTGAATACGCAATGCCATTTAGAAAGTGGTCAAATGTAACATATGTTATATATGGGGTTACATTTTCTTAGTAAAGTACAGATTCTAGTACTTTTGGGGGTTGAATCCCATCCGTGATTCGAACCCACACCATCAGAGTCAGCCACCTAATCGCCAGCACACCAAGTTATTCTTTGTGGAAGCCGGGATGGCCGAGCGGATTAGGCGGCTGGCTTTGCGTGTTGGCGATTAGGTGCCTGACTCTGGGGGTGTGGGTTCGAATCCCATATGGGACTCAACCCCAAAAAGTACTAGAATCTGTACTTTATTAAGAATGTGTAACCGCAAATATAACATAGTTACAAGAATGTACACTATTTTGCACAAAATATATACCGTTTCGTTGTATTTTCCAGTTTCACCAGACTGACGGTACTTTTTGGAAACCATTTGCATAAATTGATGTTACTTAACGCATAATGTATTTTCACTTTTATTCCACCCCCTCTGACAGCTTACGTTTTGTAGTTATTCCTTGAACCAGGTGTTTTTAAATACCACTAGTGAGACGTGAAAAATGCAGCAGAGAGGGTTTGGGTGATCCTGGCACAGTCAGGCTAGTAAAGATCATCATCAGTTCAGGGCCCTTGCCCCCTCTACACGCAGCCCAGACAGCAAATGGGACTTCTCCCAGAAAACGCTGCTTAGTCGAACCCACCAAGAACATTCCGGAGAATATGAAGACTTCCCAAAACTGCAACCTTCTGCATTACCCAGAATGTCAGAAGGGCTGTGCTCCCGGTGGAGAACTCGGGCACTCTCCTGATCTGCGCCAAGAGATCAGAAGATACCAAACCAAGGGCACCGAGAACAATGGGGAGTCTGACGACAGTGTACTTGGGATGCAATCGAGGCATTTTATTGGTGAGGTCCGCATATTTAGCATGCTTTTCCTGAACCTTGCCAATCACATTGCTGTCATAAGGGATACATCCTTGTGAAAAGTGAAATATCTCTTGTACTATCTTTGCTAGCTTCCAAAATATGTACCCTGGGAAAAGAAGTTCATTATAAATACCATTCTATTATCTATATTCATTTGTACTGAACTTCCATCAGAGACCATATAGTCTCCATATGGTCTCTGCTTCCATGTATCCTTTTTTAACTGTCTACATATAACATTGAAAGCCTCTGAGTTAGTTACCACCGTAACTCGATACCTGCTGAGAAAGTTACTTCAGAGAAAATGCCTTATCAAACGATTCACAGTAGGTAGCAATTGAAAGTATAACAAATTTAAATCATTTCCATGGAAACGTTCTATGTTACCATAGTTATCGATAAATAAAAGAGTACCGTTTCTGTATTTCAATATGGGTATGCCACTTTGTAGACGACCATTATAACATTGCGGATCTGATTATGTAACATGTCTTTTCTATATGATTCAATATAATAAAGCCAACTTTCCATGATATACATTATGTCAGACACACAATATTCTCTCGTTTCAGTGACATATATTTATAATACTCAGCTTATCAGCTAGATCAGAAATAGTGACCATCAGTGATATTTTAAATATATCTATATATTTGTTTGGAAAGAAAGATTGTCATGATTAGCAAGCAGTTGTGCTTGTGCATAAAGGTTTTAATAAAGGTAAAAATAAATAAACGATATATTTCTGTTTGGGACATAATTATCATTACTGACTTTTGATGGCCATTACAATGTTAATCACGATAGGGGCTGTTGGGGTAATCTATTGGCTAAAGAGTCCGTTTGTCACGCTGAAGACCCGGGTTCGATTCCCCACATGGGTAAAATGTGTGAAGTCAGTTTCTGGTGTCCCCCAGGGTGATATTGGTGGAATATTGCTAAAAGCGGCGCAAACAAATACTCACTCACTCACTCACTAACTCGCGTCTCCTCACACGTCCGTCTGGGAGGAGGTTACACTGATTGTCGCCGTGTCGTGAAGCGAGATAAGAAAGAATATATGACGTGTTTACTTCGCGGATTGTTACGCTGAGCAATAAAGTCTGATGGCCACATATCTTGCTGAATACTCCATGGTCTGCACTGTAACATTGCATGTCGGTGATGCTTTTAACAGAAAACAATAACGGCGATATTCGTGGGCATTTGCTATTACTGTTTAACTACATTAATTGTTAATACAATTTATAGAAACTACAATCAAAATATTGGGAAAATGTTCTCTGAATTAATAGCATCTTGTTGTTAATCATTAAATCATCTAAGACTTTCTTTCCATTTGGTTATTACAGTTACATTTTCAAGTTATATAACTGAGCATCAGCTTAAGGTAGGAGAAAGGAAGCCCAATGTACACCAGTTCGTCGCTGTTCAATACAATAATATATTAGAAACTGGATAACTTGTATAAGTGTTGGTGTGTTCTGTTTCTGTTAGCTTTTAACATCGGATCAGCTAAGTTTGTAAACGTGTACTATTTGTGTCAAAGCTTGGACACGGTACTGACAGACCAAAGATGACAGTAGAGAATGAGCCATGAATGCTACTAAATATTTGGATACGGACCTTGAACTCATGAAAATGACTGAAGCAATGATTTCTGTAAACAACAAAATGCACTGTTGCGATGATGGTACTTTTTGAACCCTCACTAATGATCTCTTATGTTGTAACCAACGGAGACGGAGGTTCCATTTATTCGTTGTGATGTTTATCCGAAAACATATATGGAAGTTGAGGGTTGATATTTGGTTTGTGATTTGAGTGAAGTCTAAGTCGCAATTAGACTTATTATGTCTCGGATTACGACTACACACTCATGTAAAATGCATTGTCAAAGAAAATAATGTGTATTAATTTCTCAAAAGTTTGTTTTATTTATTCCTATACTAACATTGCACATGTTGCCAAAGATATAAACAATGCAGGTCAGCGAATGAGTTGTATATACACCTTAACACAAACAGTGACATATGTACAACGTCACATTCATCAGTCTCTTTCATTCGGATGAACACACTAATCCACATTCAAGCACTATAATGAAACACCATGCCCTCTCATTCACATAAAGCATGAAGCAAGTTGTATGGTATGAGATTCGTTATCGCTGTCTTTCAATGACAAATCTCATTCCAGTAATATCAAGAATGTCATCTGATTGCATATATATACATTCTCCATAGGAAAAAACAGCTATGTCTCCATATCGTCCGCAAACACCTGATATTATCAGTCAATGTTCAGAAAAAGTCTATACTTTGTCCGATGAAATTGTGCTGCCTTGTTTGTAAACATGTCGAGCAGTAGATCGCGACCTCCTCAGACGCCTCCAAGCGTAGTCATAGGACTTCATCATTGCGGCTGTTTTGACGTGACCTGATGCTCTTCTATATACCACCCTCCGCACAAAGACACTGCAGTTCTGAGACACAACATTGTTCACCTGAGCTCTGACAATTTTGTTTCCAAGGAGTCGTGTTTCCCAGTTAACATTATCAAGAATGTGGTGGCAGAACCTGCTGAATACCACACACCTACGTCCAAACCTGGTGGTCTGAACACTGATCTCGTAGAGAGCTGGCTTATTGTTCTGGGACTTGAAGATAGTTCTTCTCCTGAATCCAGGGTTGGCACCCCGTCTTTTTTCCCATTGTGCATCCTGTTTGAGAGGAACGACAGGGGAAATAACCTTGACCCAGGCTGACCAGTCCATGTCTCTTAAGCTGAAGTTGTTCTCAAAGACTTCCTCTCTTCTCAAAAGAGGAGTCACAAACTTTGTTGGTTTCTGAAATAATACATTATGTACAAATTATCGATTTGTTTGAGAAGAGTAATGCCACAGAGGTATAACTTAAATCGGTAAATATGATCGTTATCAATATTTTCCAAACAATTGAACATTTGAATATATAATGTTATCCATTTTGAAAACAAACATTTATAAAACATACCTTCAGTGATTTTGTTCCTGGTCTCCTGATAGATTTAGGCTTGACCTTTCTAATTCCTGAGAAGGACGTAGTTTTCTTCACAGTGGGGATCGTCACATCTTTCTTACTGCAACCGGTTGTGATCTTCTTTGGCGATGGAAGGGAGGCTACTCCATCGCGTAGCGATGTAAACATTTTCTCCAT